GCTCTAAGGAAGTAATACTTGAACCAATTTAAGAATCAAATAGATTTTTAAAACACACTAATTTAATCAAAAGCCAGCATGATGCAGTCAAATTTTAGTTTAAAATTTGAGTATGTTACATCGCCCTGGCGATCAATCGCCCATTAGCCTCCCCCGGGAGGGAGGGGGAAGGGGATCGATCGCTACCCCCGTCTCCGGGCGATCGATCGCCCATTAGAATCCCCCAGCCGCGTCCCGCGTACGGGGGTCGGGGGGACGGTGGCGGCGCGGCCGGTGGAATCCATCCAATTCTACGTGACGTGAATAACGTGACCGTCTCTTGGATGGGGGCGGGATGGTGCGCGGCACTGTCCCATCTTGGCTTTACACGGACAAAGTATCATTTGCTCAGTACTTCCTGCGTCCCACTTTAAACGCAACCATAAGCTGAATGATAGAAAATACTAATTAACACGCGAAGTTAAGCACGCATATTCAAACCACGTAGGTGTAATCTCCGTGCGTGCCAGCGCTGGCAGTTCATACGCTGAGAGCCTGAGACAGAAACAGTTTTGCCTGCACCGGGCGGGGCCAACCGATCGATCGCGCGAGGAGAGGTCGAGACTCGAGACGAGCAGCGCGCGCGGGTGCGGCCGGGCCAAAACCAAAAACCACATTGATCTCATCGTGCGCGCCGCCTCCCCCTCCCCCGGCTTGATCCCTCGTCGATTTTCTCTCTCAATCCCGGCCTCCGCGCGCGGCGGCAGGTTCGGCGGCCGCTTCTCCCTCTGTTTCGTCCGCCGCCACCGGGCGCGGCTGCTGGCTCGGTCGCGATGCGCGCGATTGGTAAACCGAGCGTGGAAACTAGCCCACGCAACCAGCAGCCGGCCCACGGGGAGGCAAAGCGATTTTGGCCCGTCCGCACGCGCCTGCGCCGTCCGTGTCCGTCCGCGTGTGCTCCCGTGCTCCGCCCCGCGGTGCAGCCTCTGCCGGTTTGAGCCACATGCGGGATTGCGGCTGCCGCGGGCGGCCAGTGGAATGTGCTGTAGCGGCGGCTGGGAAACTATTTTTTTTTAAGACTAGTCACCGAGGGGGAGAGCTTCCCCACCTGTATTTTCATTGAAAGATAGAAGAAGTATACGACTTTAGATTACATAGTGCGAAGGGGGAGGAAAGAATTTGTTTCCAGGATTCTACAACGATCCTGTCAGCACAAATAAGTCTCTCTGCCCACAAGGTTGCATCCTCAATACATCTAGTAACTAGTCTATGCAGAGAGGGGGATTCTCCACGGAAGACAACATCATGACGATTATTCCATAATCCCCAGAGACAAAGCAAGAAGAAAACCTTGAAGTGCTTTGTTGGGAGGCGGCCATTTGGGCGCAGAGCATAGAGGTCGCTCGCGCTGGTGATAGTCTGGGGGATTTCAAGCTGATTCCAGAATGCAGTTGCAAAGGGGTAGAGGAAGAATAAGTGAGCCACCGTTTCTTCTGCCGAGTGACAAATAGGGCATAACACCGACTGGACGATTCCTTTTTTGCACAGATTAACTTTAGTGGGCAGACGTTCCTTTGTGAGAAGCCATGCGAAGAATTGAGCTTTAGGGGGATCTCTGTTCCGCCAGACAAAGAGCCAATTGGGGCTTGGTAAATCTCCTTTGTGTGCAAAATCCTCGTCATACCCTGGGCCACCCTAGAGTCCGGCTCAGAATTTAGGGATGTGTTTTGTCAGATCATGAGCAGTTCATCCACCTGAGCCTGGGCAGCAGAAGACAGCCTGGGAGCAAACTGCTCGCTGAAAGCTCCACTGCAAACCTGCGCCACTGGGAAACTATTTTGATTCCCTCGAGGGATTGAATTCAATCGTTTGTTTAAAAATTATCTACACAGTTATATTTTTTTTTCAAAAAAAAATTAATAACTTTTATACAACATGCATATGATACTTTACAAAATCTTTCAAGCTTAACTCACGCATTTAGATATAAAAAACATATTCAGTAAATAAATAGCAGATGTATTTGTAAACAAACTTAGTAAATGTATACTTATCTGAATTTGTTTTTTTTCTCAATGTGCCGAATTTGAACTTGATTTAAAATCAAAGGCTGATAGAGGTCGCTATATTATATATTTGTCATTTTATTCTTATTTTTTTATAACTATTTACATTAGATTTAGGAGAGAAAAAAAACACGAGAGACATTCTCGAAGGATTTTGAATCCATTCCAAGTAGTAGCCGTAGTTGCATGGATGGGAACGCCGGAACGGGATGGCATCGGTAGCAGCACGGGCATATGCACACGTTCTGTCTGGTGTGGGCAAACACCGTCCCGTGCTGATTTATCACGATCTAACCCGTACTCCCCGTTAAAAAAACCAATCTAGATGATGATAGAATACTACTAGATAGATATGTCCAGATTCGTTGTACTAGATGGTGTCGACCTATCTCCATATAGGTTGAATTTTGTTTGGACGGAGGGAGTACGTGTTATCCCATCTGTAAGTACAACTACTACCAACAATTATTCCTAAGGTAAAATGTATGATTTCGCTCCCTTCTCTTTTGAATGGTGGTGAATCTGTTAACCCATCTTCTTCCGTTTGGAAAGTATGATCATTTTATACGTTTTTCTTGTGAGAAGAAAAAACTGCACACTTGCATTGCATCTCATGTTATGTAAAACTGGTTTGTTCGTACACTTACATACATACCTCGCATGTTGCAAATAAAGAATGCAGAAAAAAGGAGAGAGAAAAACTTTGGCAATTTGTGGGCACCGGAGATGCCGGGAAGGTATTAAGCTACTATAAACTAATGCTTGTTTCAGTTCATGCTTATCAGCCATACCTGCAGTGCTCAGCAACACCAATTTGGTGTCTAAAATTGCTTCCCTTTGGCTTTAGTTTTTCTTTCCTACCTTTGATTGGCAATGGCACGCGGACGCTAAGGACTATTCGTTTCTGCATTTTCTTTACGAGATTTCCGCTTAAAGCAGAGAGGAATGGAATTATTTTTCTCCTTCAGTGGGATCCTTTTGATCTGATTTAGGACGGTTAGATGCTGACAAGCAGTGTTCTTTATGGGGGAATCATTAGCTTGACGTGTTAATAAATTATCGAATTATTCTGTTGTAGTTTCACATCATGTGATGCTTAGCCATGAGGAGAAATTCTGGGGAAAAAAAACCCTAGTTGCTGTCTTGCAGAATTGGTTTTTATCAGATTATCAGGCAATGGTGATGTAGGATAGATGATCCTGTCTGTTGCATTGCAGCTTTCATGACCCAAAACATGAGTAAAATATGGAAGGGAACTGGTCCTTGTTTTCTGCTTTTGGACTTGTCCCCTCGAACTACCAATCTCTCTTTGTTTTATCTCACATCTAACTACACCTTAGTTTGGTAAGACTGAATGTCTGAATCACTAATATCTGATAGAAAAACAAGGGCAACACCATAAGAAACTACTCGAACTAGCAAGTAGCAACAAATCTATGGCTCACTGTCAGGGAAATACCATGCAAATGTTTATGATTTTTTTTTCAAAATATTTGACAATATTTATATAGCATAACATATACAATTCCACGATATTCCATGACTCGACTCCACGTTCTTTTCCACTTACGTATTATGGATGCTAGGCTTTCAAAACTTCTGAATGGTATAGTTGTTACAAAAACTTTCTTCATTGGCGTTTCTTAAATATTTTTTGAACAACTTTTTAATATTTAATTCCTTCGTTTATGTCCTCGAATAACTTGTCTTTTAACTCAATTTCATCCATAACCCATCATCCAACAGAACTTTACAACATACAAACCATCTGCCATACTTTTCTACCATTTTAATTGCTCACAGTGTTCAAGTTGGAGATGAACCAAGTTCACATCTTCAGAGAAATGAAAGAGAAACAGTTGTCTCCCTCCAAAATACTGAAGCATGTAAAAAGGTACATGCCCAAATACGCAATATATATGCGCAGTGGAGCCGTATCAATCAGATATGCTTGTTTTACGCATCATGTTGCCATGTGCCTGCCGATGCGTATCAGGAGATCGGTGGTGACTTGGACAGCCATTGATGGGAACAGAAAGTTGTGAGCCTCCATTGTTTCCCCCACATTGCAATGTTCTCCACTCTTTTTTCTTCTCACTTAAATTTTGCCGCTTAGCCAATAATCCTTGCTTGTTTTCTGATGATCCTTAGCTTTGAAGATGAGCATGATCCTGGCATTGGAAACCTAATGCATAAACTGGTGTTCGGTGTAATGGAAATTGAGCCACTTTTAGCTTGCAAGTATTTTGTGTCGGCCACTGAAACCCAATGTCTCCTTAAAACAAGATACAGTGGCCTTTGTACTGTGATTGTATACATGTTAGCGTGTGATTACTAAAATATAAGATTGTAGCTTGTGGTTGGTTAACTATGATACTGAACTGTCAGAAAAAAAACAGGTTTTATGCATAAGTTTGAGACTTTGGGTCTGGTGAATCAGTCCAGTGGTGTGTACGGATCTATTGTAATCTACAAGTTTTATGGCCTTAATTGTAAGATTATTATATCTTGCTGTTGTCACTCAATGACTTTATGATCATCATATTATTCTGCAAAAAAGTACTATCTTTGCTTCAGTTATGTGTCTTCGTTTCTTGATGCTATGTTAAGTTGCTTCGAAGTAGTGTTGTAGAAATTTTTGCTCTGAAAAAATTGATACAACACAAAGCATATAAGAGGCCATTTGCTTCATAATTTGCTTCATACATCTAATTGTTCTCCTGACAAACGGGTTTATATATGTTTCTTCTCTTTACTTTATGCTGTCGCACATGCATCCTATAATACAGATAAGAGATAATTAAATCTTACTACTACAATATAATTTGAGAGCTAATTTGCTCTGAACTGTACTCCAAATCTATGCAAAATTCTGGAATTTTCCCCACATATCTGACCTGCTTATTACCACCTGATAAAAATGGCTAGCTGCCACATGTTCAGATGATATGCTGATTGCTGAATTCTGAATATGATCTAGTATGATGAAAAAGTTTAGAGGCCATTCATTTGATCGAACAAACTCATCATGGGTGTTTCAGCAACACACGTTTTTTTTTGTTCAGTTTTACAAAACTTTCAGAAATCCATCGCGCCATTGTAAGTACATTTATCACACTCACGCTCGCTGTCGTCATCAACCTCTGCAAATCTCGACGAGCTCTTCCGGGCCGTCGGATTCCGCGGCGGCGATCTTGGACGCCGCCGACGAGAGGAACCGGAAGCCGGCGTCGCTGGCGCTCTTCCTCACCGACGCCAGCTGCTGCGACCTCTTGCAGTAGGCGATCAGCCCCTGGATCGGGTTCTCCACCTCCGAGCTCGCGCTGCTGCTCCTCCGCAGCGCCGGCGCCGCCGCGCCGCCGTCGGACTCGCTCGACGTCCGCACCGACGAGGAGGAGGAGCACGACGACGACTGCGGCGCAGGGGACGTCTTGTTCGACGTCGAGTACCGGACGATGACGCTGGAGAAGGACCTCCTGTGGCCGCCGTGGTCGCGCTCTTTGTGCTTCCCTCCTCCGACCGAACCACGGCCGCCGCCGCTCTGTGAGGAGGCGATGCACCTGTTGCTTCTCATCTGGCCGAACGGGTTCCTCCTCCATGCTCTGTGGTGGTGGTGGCCACCATGGGAGAGTTCTTTGGTTTCTCTCGTCGCGCCAAGAATGGCGTCCTTGTCGTCGTCGTCGCCGGAGCTCGCCGGTTTGGCGGCGAAGATCGTCTTGATGTAGGCCTTGGAGGCCTTGAGCTTGAGGCCGAGGTTGAGCTGCCTCATGAACCTGAGCTTCCGCGACCACGGCTTCTTCTCGCACGCCGCCGCGGCGGCGTCGGCGAGCCTGGCCGCGTACTCCTGGAAGTACTCCTCCACGTTGAGCTCCCCGCTGGCGTAGCACGAGTTCGCCGGCGACGCGGTGCACGAGTCGTACGGCGTCGCCGGCGCCGTGCTTATGGCGAGCTGCCGCCGCCCGGCGCCGCCGACGACGACGCGCCCGTCGAGCAGCTCCTCCACCATCTGTATCCGCGGCGGCAGGTGCAGCGGCAGCAGCTTCCCCTTGTAGAACAGCTCGTCCGCCGGCGACGCCAGCGGCTCCTGCTCCCACCGGGCGCCGCCGCCGCCCAGCGGCCCCGACATGTGGAAGTCGAACTCGAACTCACCCGGCGCCGTCGCCGCGGCGGCGCTCGTCAGGTCCATGTCGATGTAGTCCTCCTCCTGCATCGCCTCCTGCTGCCCCAGCTGGTGCTTGCTCGCCATTGCCAAGGTGAGAGCTCGTGGCTCCGGAGCTGAAGCTGAGACAAGAGGGCAGGAGACGGTGGCTGCGTCTTGCTACTTATATTAGCCGCTTAATCATGGTGGATTAATGGGCTTAGAGCAAAAATGGACACTTGGACAGTGTCATGGCATCAAATGAGGCTTAATTACAAAGTATAAATACTTTCTTTATCCTTATTTAATCATCACCTAAGATTTTCGAGGTCTTTTCAAAATAATCATCCTATAACAAATGTCTCTTTATTTGTTTGTGTAAAGAGTAAATGAGCATCATTGAATATGCTGCATGCAACCAATCAAGATTAATTTTTATTGATGCAACTACATGCAATATTTAAAACTTGGTACTATTCACGAGACACGAAGCAACATACCATCTTAACTAATGAGAATTAATTATAGAATGATGGAAATTTGGTTGTTTCAGTCTCTGTGTTTAGGTGATGATCAAAAATAGGATGGAAGGAGTATCTTGTAACTTTATATGTATTGTGATTACAGGCGTTTTAGCACATAACACGATATTCCGGATGCCATGATCATATATCTTTAAAAAATCATGCCGTAAAATCAATTGTTCTTTATTTCACCATACTTAAAATCAAATCAAATCTTGAAATTAAGATTCTTTTTATTAAAAAAAATTTAGCCATGTCAGTTAAGATTCTCTTATCTTGCTTAACTTTAATAGTTTTGCACAACTTAAACCATATAAAGGGGTTAATGAAGTATGAACCGGATTAATCATACTATTATGGTGGGCCCTACCATTAGCCGTATGATCTGCCTCTTGTTTGCATGTAATGCAGAACGAGTTGTGTGCTCTCTCCCTATCATTGCATCTGATGTCCCTGGCTTTAGTGCAGTATTATCACTCACTCAACTTCAGCTTCTTTTCTGTGAGAAAAAATCGGCTTTAGCGATCGCGTTAGTGCTGATTAGGGTGGTGTTCTTTTGCTTTTGTGCCTTGCGTTAGCTGCATGCTTCTCTTCTTTCCATGGCTACCTCTCGTGCTAATGCTACTAATCACTAGTACTAGTACAGAGTTACTAGTATTAGTGCAAGTTAATAGTACAAAGGTGTGGTTAATTAGGAACGCATTTCTAGTTCCAACCAGTGAGTGACCGCGAGTTACGAGATGATACGGACGATACGCGCGATCTGTGTAGATTACTTCAAACAGGCTCTGATCATTGGCTCAGTTAATCAGTGATTAGCAGTTTAGCACTACTAAGTAATTTCGAAATCGAAATCTTTCTAAATTAAACATTTTGAATTTGAAATGGTGACATAGCTCATTCCCCAAGAACAATGAGGAGAGGAAAAAAAAAACAAAGCATGGAGTGGTGCAGTGATGTTCTACAGTACTTCGATTGAGCTTGTAGGCGTGTGCATTCTCTGAATTTTTTAGACCCTTCTTCGTGTCAACATGTTGGAGTGTGTGAAGGTGTCATTCATGTAGTACAGTACAAAATGGCCTGGCTGACTGTCTCGTCGGATTCTGAATTTCAGGTCAGCAACCATCGATTCAGAATTCAGAGAGAGAGAGAGAGAGAGAGAGTGAGAGAAAGACAGCATTTCCATGAATTTTCTAGAGCAAATCATTTTATTTCGATTCCTACTAGCACGTTTTTCAAGCTATTCATAAAAAACTTTCTATATAAAAGTTGTTTTAGAATATCAAATATATTCACTTTTTAAGTTTATAATAATTAATTATGTGCTAATATTTCTCTTTTTATGTGTGTCACTTTAATTTTCATCTTTATCATTTTCAAACACCACCTGAATGCATGTGTGACTTCGATGTATTCAAGGGATTGAGGTAAAACTGCACAACAGCAATTGTACACAATCTAAAGATTTAACGGCCAAAACCGATTCACCACATTAAAATCGAAACAATACATTTTCATAGTAAGTTGCTACAGTGTTAGGATGTATCTCAAGTGTCTATTTTGAATCATGTGATGCTAGTGTGGCTGTTTAGCTTGCAGTCACATTAGTTACTACATGCACCTAAACGGGAAGGTAACACGCTGACGCGTGTGTTTCAGTGGTTCTCTTATCTCCTCCTTATCTTAGAGCAAGGTTAATAATACAGTAGCTGCATACTGTATAGATTTTTAGTCTATCTCTCAGCTCATTCATATTGTGGTTAACTCTTCACTATAAATATATGGTACACATGTCTGTCTCACAGATTTTCTTGGTTCCTGTACCTAAGCCGGATGTAAACTTACAACCCGTTTCTCATCTCTCTCCTCTCCTCTCTTCTCTTCTCTCATCCATCTCAGCATTCAGTTTTCTTACAGCCCACTATTATTCTTGCTCTTACCTTACGAATGATGTTGATGTTGGTGAGAAATTTGGCAAAGCCGTGAATTTCGGCGAAGAAGTACTCAACCTGGCCAGCCAAAGTACAGCATACACGCATAAAAGAATTTTCTTTTTCTTTTTTCTCTCCGATGGTGTCATGGTGATACAGGGCCTTGACTTTCGTGTGTTCCCATGGACTTCCTCTATTATTACTCCACATAGGCCGTAGGAACACCCTATACCGTGACCATCTGAAGTAAAACAATGCCATTTACCCATAAAAAGATAGGAAACCATTGTATCCATTCCTTTCCATATTGTGTGAACTCAAGTCATTTTAATTTGATCCTAAATCAAACTTCTCTAATTCTAATTGAGTTTAAAGAAAAATACACAATCAGCTATAATATTAAATTAGTACCATTAAATCCACCTTGAAATATGTGTTATAGTTCTCTTATTTGTTATATTCGGAGTATTACAGATGTTGCCGTATTTCTTTTATAGACTCATGGGCTGTTTGGTTGCTACCCTGAGAAGAAGTGGCCTGACCTAAGACTAGCCTGGCACATTTTAAGTGTTGTTTGGTTACCAGCCTGAAGGTTCTTTGCCCTTGCCTGACCTGATGCATGCTGTCTCGTGATTAGCCTGACCTTCAGGCGTAGCAGCGAACGTGTATTATCTTCTTTCATGTAGCACAAAGCCAATGAGCCATCGCTATTTGCTGCCGCCGTCGTCGCGCGGAACCCCAGCCTCCGTCGGCGTCGTCGTTCGCGCACGACCTTGCCTCCTCCTCCGCCGCCATCGTCTCTCGAAATCCCAACCTCTGATGCCGTTGTTGTCGCGGACACTCGGAAACCGTCGCTGCCTTCTAATTCGCTCGAAGCCTCGTCTTTGCCGGCGCCGTCGTCGTCAGATCCGGCACAGTGTCACACGAAGCTACTGCGAGGTCGCCGGCCGGGCCCATCTTCAGCACGAAGCAGCAGCCGTCGCCGGTGTGCCAAAGCGATTTGATGAATGCTTGGATCTGGGGGATTTCTGTCCTTGCGTTCTTTTCTCCTGCTCTCTTTTTAACTTATGCAATTGATCTATCTTATCTAATTATGTGATTGATATGTCTATAAAGAAAGACATATAGTAGATGGATTTGGGGATTTTTTTTCCCTTGTGTTCCGCTTGTTTTTCATCCTTAATATATGCAATTAGTTTGTTCATGAATCTGCTAATAGTGTTTCTTTCCTCTCAGGTAGCTGTGCACAACCTGACCAGGCAATGTAATCAACTTTTCTCGTGCCTCTCAGGCATGCAAATTTCTCATGCTAGATGCCCAGGGCACGAACCAAACAAGCCCTCAGTCAAAGTTACGTAAGTTTGCTTACAACAAAACTAAAATGACTTACAGCAATAATGAGTAATTCAACGTGAATATTAGGAAATGACCTAATATCAAATAATTAGAAGGGGTGAGGCTTCGAACCCAAGTCATCTAGCCCATCACCTTGTGAAGCTAGTCGGAAGACCCATGAGTGTTTCTACATGACTTTGCTATAGCAGACTCAATTACAATGATCTTTTATAGTACTGCACAGAAACCGGACCGTACTAGAAGTAGAGTGAGAACACTTAAGCAAAGCTCCATAAATTGCTTAAAGATAACATAAGGCTAACATCACCATCCCAAACTTGCAATTGAAGGAGTATATTTTATTCCGCGTATAAAAATTGTTATTTTAGTAGTAGTGATTGAGTCATCTTGTAGCCTACTAGGAGGATGTAGCGATTAGGGGCTGTGAAACTCAGGTTAGGTTGTGGTCAACCTTCAAACTCCGGATTTAGGGAGAAAAAATTGCAGGCCTGAAAACTGAAATGAGTGCCACTTGCAGGCTGGCTAGCTGCTATGAATTGGTCGGTAGTGGTGGTTCGAACGTGGAAGATTCGCGTTAGTACGCAAAGTATCTAAAGTCAGCACTTTGTTGGTTCTAATCTGCATGAGATGAATCTAATCTGGAGTGTATTTTCTAAGAGAAAGGAAGAGAGAGAGAAGAGGCAAACATGTAAAATACACTAATGTAAATTTCAGACCCAACTTTTGTACAATCTTTTGTTGTTTTTTTTTCTAATTCATACATGGTATATGATCTTTTGTGTGTGGTCCACGAGCAGTGTCTACTAAGATTACTTCGTTTTAATTTGTGTGCCTGATCTTTTGGTTGCTTCGTCCCATTAAAAGTGAGATTAGCATGACTTCAACTCCTTACGCCTCACTTATTTCGGAGCTTCTTTTCCCCACAACACAAGGCCACGGCACAACATTAAGTGACAAGAAGTTCTATGATTTTTGTAGTGTAGAGTTTAACAAGATGGATATCGTTAGAATGCAGTGGCTATGAGCTATGAGACATTGTTAGAATATAGTTTTTTTCACAAGCACTTTTCCTAGTCTCAGTTTTTACATGTAAATCTATTGAAATGTGCATAAATGATCCTGCTAAAATATAAAGCGGTGACATTGAACACCACAGGGCGAAATTTCCCAGCTCCACGCCTGTTAGATTGGCAACCTGACGTTCATTTTCTTATCGGCTAACAATGTGTAATAACTCAAGTGGTTATCTAGTATGTGAGTTGTAATCTATTCTCGCCACTTGTAATTTGTGTTGGCCTCTTAATTATCTCTGAAGAAATCGATTTATTCAGGTGGGCTACTTTGTCCTCCCTTAGAATCTTGCAGCTCCTTAGGGAAAAAAAATTTAGTTTGATAAGTCCTGGATAATACGTTGACAGGACATGGGCTTAACAAGTCTTGCTTTGACATGTTGAAGAGACAGATAGTTGCTCATTTCCTTTTCCACCGGGTTTATAGGTAGTTGAGTTTGGTCACCTGAATTTTGGCTATGGGTGGAAAACTGCAGGGAACTATATAGAGGATAGGTCATGCGCTACAAATTTCTCCTACTACCTTTAAATTCTCATGCTTTTCATGTGTCGCCTAAACGTATGAACTATTGTAGTACTACGTTTCAAAGCGATGCATATTTACCATAGAGCACATATGTTTGACTCCTTGAAAAGGCACTGTAAGGATACGTACAATGGCAGAGTTAGAAAATCTCTTTGAACAATTAAACCCATTATGTTTTGTTTGATTAACCCATGTGAGGAAGAGTCCAAAGGAAATTGAGGAGGATTTAATTTCACACCTCAATAGGTGTGAGATTAATCCCCTTTAATCTTTGAAAGGATTAACCGGAGATTAATCGAACAAGACCATATGATTAACCACCAGTATAGCACTAACAATATGGCAATTCAATTCCATCCTCTACTACCAGTGAACACCCATATGGCTATCCCAGTACATTGAGCATAGGTTATAGTTAGATCATTTTTGATACGGTTCCATATTCAAGATTTCTTACAGCAAATCTATGATCTAGATCTACAATTACATTGGATAGATAATTATATTTCTATTTAGATGAAATTTATTTTTTAAACTGTAAAAACTTCAATGCTCTATTATCATCCATATACTCCCTTCGTCCCATAATATAAGAGATTTTGGAGGGATGTGACACTTTATAGGACTACGAATCTACGCAGATTCGTAGTCCTATGAAGTATCACATCCCTCCAAAATCCCATATATTATAGGACGGAGGGAGTACTTTACTACCGCTTCCAGAATATAATAAGTTTTAGGGTTAAGAAATGAGGTATAATTAAATATGAGAATACTATGATTGGATAAGTGGAGGTAGTGAAGAAATTGAATGATGAATGATTATGATTTGTTAGGAATGATTGGTCAGAAAGAAAATGTTAGTGAAATTGTTATATTTTGGGATAAAGGGAGTAATATTTTTTTTACATATATCCTCTACACTGTTGTCCTTGTATTGAAAGCTGCTAACACGAGTACACAGCGGAGGATCTCTCAATTGATTGTTCATTGTTTCCTCCTGAATCGTTAGGCAACCGGAATTTTATTTGCGTGCGTCCAATACGCTAACCCAGCAAAGGGACCAGAAAGGAAGGTGATCCCAAAGCTCGAGGTGTTTCTTTGCCTCCTCTTCGGCTGGAAGCAGGCAAACTGGCAAAGGTTTCTGTTTCCTCCAACTCCTAGGAAAACTCAGGGTCCCTGATGATCACCTAATGGCAGGAAAAGTAACCTGAATCTGACACCAGTTTGTCCATTTGTTTCAGCATGCAGCCCCTGTTCAGTTCCCTTTTCTGGTAAACCTTGGATGGCGAGTTTTAAGTTCTTGGTGGTTGTGGCAGGTGATGCACCCAGGAAGTTCTGACAACTGATGCTAAGGCTGTGTTTAGTTCCACGCTAAAATTGAAAGTTTGAAGAAATTGAAACGATGTGACGACAAAAGTTAGAAGTTTGCATGTTTAGAAAAGTTCAATGCTACAGAAAAGTTGGAGGTTTGAAGAAAAAAGTTGGAATCTAGACAAGGCCTAACTTTTCTTCATCAGCAACAGAAGACCTCACCGCGGGAGGCCATAATCTGACCAATCACAAGACAAAGTGAGCCATGCTCTAGCAAAATTAGATGGGTTTCACATCATAAAATGATCAGCTATAGAGTAATTCATTCCATCCAAAATATCAGATGACGAGCACATGAAACTTTTACCAGTTACAGGCATTGAATGTTACATACAGCACAAGGAGAAGGTGAAAATGGGGTAGGAAATGTACAATGTTTTTCTCTTGTACAACATACAGCGTGTTTTGACAGTTTTGGGTTGCCTGTTGCTTCCATGAACCAGGAGTAATCTAATCATAGAGGAGCTGCAGCTACAAGAACACAAAGAGAAAAATTGCTGACTAGCAGCTGCTGATACAACTTGGAAAGCTGACAAGCTAAGGCCGTAAGTTCGACGAAGAGTATCACAGATCACTCCCTAAAAGATGTATGATCATGAGAGCTTCGTCAAAGCAAATAAAATGGCAACCTTTGCGTTGGAGATCAAAACCATAAATATGGAAACTCCTGAGATGCTTTACAGATTGGACAGAACCCCACCATAGCGTTGAGAATTAGTGTACACGGACTTGACTGTTATGCTGATGCAGAATCTAGTGTTATCTACTTCTGTGTTTGTTAGAACTACACTACAGATCAACATCTGGCAATGGCATCTTCCAGTAATTCCAGGAATTGTAGTCTTCCTGCAAGGCATCATCATTGATGATCAGCACAAAAAGGAATTTGCATGTTATGGAGTATGACCATACATGAGTACAACACAATCACACTAGCTGCCCTTGCTCCCAACAGTAACCTGTATGGTTCAGGCAGCATAGAACTGGAGGTGACTATGCGCTAAGGATAAAAACAGTTCTAGTCTTGGATAGTATGAAAGAAGCCAAACAAGAAAAAGAAAAACATGAATGTGCATGTTTTCGGTCTAGCTAATCCCATGAAAAGTATTGCTAGAAGGCAAGAATGACAGCTAACCTGCTCAACAAGAGTGGTTGGAGGGAACATATCATGGACAAGGGTATGTAAGGAGGTATAGGACTTCACGTCGACAGAACTGTTTATGGCTACTTCCCCCTGCACGCACAGGATGACTTTAAAAAAGGCACAATACAAGCATGGCATCACTAACTTTTAACTAGTGTAATGGCCATACCTTTGGGTTGATGATAAAGATTTTCCCTTTTGGAATTCCCATCTTTTTGTAACTAAGCTCATCTGTATCTCTGTTGCCAAATCCAGCATAAAATGGATTGTAATCAGAAGGGAAAAGTGCTTTAATGTCCTGCCAAAGAACAAAAATTAGAATTTCAAGAGCCTGCTGTGATACCAACATGGAGTTTCAGGTCTATGGAAGAATCTAAAATGTGTGTTTCTAAGATTGTCACCTACCCGTTAAAAAAGAATTGAGACTAACAACTTTTCTTAATTCTTGCAAAGTTATAGTTTATTTCTGAAGGATATGAGCTATGATGCCATACAAGAACTACAACGGAGCCAGCTAATAAGAAAACTTCGGTGGCGTTCTTTTCTCCTGAAGATGAAGATGAAGATTAAGTTTTTTATGCAAAACAAGGTGATATTAACATATGATTGATTGAGTTTTAATTATTACAAACTTAAAAAATAGATTAATATGATATTTTAGAGCAACTTTCATATAGAAAGTTTTCGCATGAAACACACCGTTTAGCAGTATGAAAAGCATGCCACGAAAATCTTAATCTTCATCCAACCCTTGTTGGAGAAAAGAACAGGACCGAAGGAGGAATGTGGATAAGGGAGAGTTTATTAGGGACTTGTTGGATTTAGTTCGCTAAGGAATTGAAACCAAAAGGCACATACCACCCTCGTAGTTCTTATTCTAACAAATAAAATTAGTTTGTTTTACTGGCAGATAACATTTCATAGTATCATAGGACATTGAGTATTGAAACCGATCCTCATAAGACAACTGCCTAAAGAAAATTACCTCCAGACATGCAATCTTAAACTCATGTGGTGCTCTTCGTATAACTGAGAAGAACAAAGGAAACATTAGAACATGGTAAACAAATTTTATTACAGTACATAAAGTAACAGTATTGTTGATCATTGTTAGCTACTTTTCTTTGTTGAACCTGAGCCTGAATTATACAGACCATCCTAGTAGTTCAGTGAAGGCTAATCATTATTCAGCAAGTCATAATAGAAGAATATGGATATGTAAATATTGGAGAGATGATGTTACCTTCCCGGTACAATGACGGAAATAAACCATCAGGTGAAATCACAACAGGTCCATTAGGCAATACCTTCCCATCCTGCAAAGTTGCCAAGGGATAACCAAGTTTATATACATACCAACAATATAGAATTAAAAATTACTATCAGTTCTAGTGAAGATATGATTAAATCACTAAAGATGAAAATGGTAGGTAACACATTCAACGGACAGATGCTATATTTTACCTGTTTTAGGTTGAATAGAAAGTTTTTGGTCAGGTATGCCTGAACTATAGCTCTAGCACTGAGGAATAATAGTTGATATCCATTTTCCTGATTGGGAGAATAAAAGAACATCAGAAACCCATATTTGCAAAACTGGGTAGAATATCCTCCTAAAATAAAGAGAAACAAAAACTAAAATAAATTCTGAAGCACACCTTTATTGCAGAAAAAAGACGAGCAACACCAGACTGACTCCAATCTCGTCCAACTAAAGGCATGACCTGGCCCAACACATCAGACCTGATATGGAACATTAATTACTCAAATTCAGCCATTATGAAAATAAACAGAAAAAGGAACATGTATAACAGTTGTATTCTGTGAAGAAAATAATGTGGTAGCCCCTAAAATTTGTAGGACTGACTTATCTGTACCATGTCCAGGATACCATTGCCAATTGACATTTTCAGGCAGACAGAATAGAAGATATAACCAAGAAATTAAGGACCACATGAAGTGTTTTTTGCAAGTCCACTTAAAGGGAGAATCATTGGACTAAAATTACTATATTTGTTAGACAAAGTAGGATCTCGCTTATTATCACTCACCAAATGAAGGTAAATTTTAGTACGAATTTTTATTATGCATTAAAAAAAGATATACATGACATTCTCGCCCAGAACATCATTTTAGATTTGCATAGTCCCACTACAATGCGAATCGACTGATCTTTGTCAGCTGTTCAAGCACTGGAAGAATGAGGAAACAAGAATATCCATTGATTGAATACTAAAAATATATAGCAACTGCCTGCAGAAGGATAGCCACCGTACCATATAATGCAGGATACACAAAATAATAAATGAATTAAAGCCCTCCCCCCAAAAAAAAAAAAAAAAAAGCATCACCTAATAGCAGGAGACTGTCATAAAGAAGCAAAGTTTCTCGTATTGTCATGACTCATGAATCTACAGTTAGTAAATTATTTCAACATGACAATCGTCAGAAGTAGATACTAAAATTTCACAAGTCATGCAGCTTTGTTCTTCCAATATCCTGCTGTTTTACAAACAATTTCCTTCTTAGATTGAGTGCAGCATGATACAAAGACCAAAGTACCACAAAAAAATAATAATTGTAAACAGAAACAAACAAACTTATATTAACATGGTATAGAGATTATCCTTTGTTTGAACCAATAGGGCATTAAACCAACTCAAAGAAGTGAGCAAACAAATTGTTAAACAAAGGATGTCTCAGACAACATCTAATTTTAAGTTGTTGTGTATATACTTAACAGAATATTGCTTGCCTGCAAGGTTTATGCTAGTTTTCCACAAAGTGTAGTTTAGGGCTTGTTTTCTAGCTTTTGCCAATCCAAACCTTACAAATATATTGCTAATGGCAAGATTTGGCAAGCCAAATTTTTTTTTGGTAAACTGTGGTTGTTGGTTTGTCGCCAAACTTTGGTAGTGTATGAGCTCATTGTTCTCTTGCCAAAGTTTTTTGGCTCCAAATGGACATTTATTTCTAGCCTCCTTAGTTTTTTTTTTCTTTTGTGCATGGCAAGTTTGGGCAGCAAACAGAACAAGTCCTTAACTTACAGTTTGGTGTGACAGTCTGACAGATAACTAGCTGAATTGTTAATTAAACAAGACTGAGCATCTAAACATACTAAGTTGAACTTTACCTTGTAATGGTTCCATCCACATCAGAAATGACAATTTTAGCATTCCATTTCCACAAGTAAATATGTGCCTCAACCTTAGTAAAAAAAGAAAGAAAAATCAATTTACAGATCTCCAAAATAAAATATTATTATTAAGAAATAGGGGCACAGACCTGTTGCTTTCCAAGAACTCTGGTGGAGAAGCTAAAAGTTACAATGTTTTGGCCCTCCTTCAGGTTTAGTGATGCCACCTGTTCACTAGTGGGAATTAATGTTCGCACAAATTGCTTTCTTGGTGACTGATTTATATTATTCTCTGGAGTTTGCTCATCCATTGGACTCAAGACAGTTTCTGTGTCAAGAAAAATGTCCTCGGATGAATCACTGTTACTGCGCTGAAGGGATCTTGATATCCTGAATGGTATGTTCCAAAGCCTCCATCTCCTGCTTGAGGGAGACAGCCCAAGAGAATCTCTTGAAGTAGGTGTTTCTTGGTGTTCAACCGGAATAGCATCAATATGTTCTGTGCAGAAGTTCGGACCAAAGACAGCTTTCCCAAGAATAATATGAGAAATTTTACTCCATAAGAAATACTGACTATCAAATTTGACAACAAGGTTTACATTTTTCATAATTGATGATCCTGATAACTTGAAATCTTCCTCAAGAACAAGATGTTGTTGGAAAACTTCTTCAGCTGATGCTTGGCCCATTCCTGGCCGTAGCATGTGCCCACAAAGAGAAATTTCGAACCCTGCCAGCATATTAAAGATAAACAATGAAACTTCAAACCAAAAAAAGGAAAAGAATAGCCTGAAGACCTGACATGTGCTTACCCAAGCCCTTTTGTAATTTGGGATGCTCTTCTTTATTTAGTTCCTCTTCAGCTGCTGAGTTCTCTGGAATGCTACCTAATTTGTCTTTGTCACTGGTTCCAATGGTTGAATGTAAACCATCAGGCCTATTCGCCTCATTTTCAGAAGAGGCTGTCTCCTTGGTCTTGCCATGAGAACCTCCTACAATGGACATATCAGATACCTTGCGACAGTGGGCAGAACTATCTTCACCTTCTGTTTTATTATCCTCCTCTAGATACTGTAATGGATCATTTCGATCACAGTGGGTAGTTTTACTTATATCTTCCTCCAGATCTATGTCAACAACAGAACGATTACTCAGACTAAATTCAAAACCCTGCTGATGATCAAATTCAGGAGAAAATGGTTCAGTTCCCGAATCTCCGTCATCTATTTGTGATGAGAGGTCTAAGCAACTTTTAAAAGTATCATATTTACCAAAACTAGGACTAGCAATTTCTAACTCAGTGTCCTCATTGCTGACATCGCAAACCTTGTCTACATTAGCTGGCACCCTGCAAGCCTCGTCATTCTCAAGCAGTGGAACATCACAAGCCTCATTTTCAGTGGCCAAAGGCTGATACCCCTCATCATTGTTCTTGGAGACATCACGAGCCTCATCTTCAGTGGCCAAGGGCCGATATCCCTCATCATCGGTCTTGGAGACATCACAAACCTCATCTTGGCTAGAAGGGGGTCGGCAACCCTCATTTTTGTTCTCTGAGATGTCATGGACCTCATCTACATTGATCAAGGCTTGATAGTCCTCATCATTATTCCCTGACTCTAGGACAACTAGAGACTCGACTTCATTGGTCAGTGCACTAGGCACATCTTCATAAACTGAGGTATGGAGCACTTCATCTCCAGTAACAGGGACATGATGTGACCTATCCGTCTCAATTGGTACATCACCAAGTTCTTCAGTGGCCAAGGGCTGATATCCCTCATCATCGGTCTTGGAGACATCACAAACCTCATATTGGCTAGAAGGGGGTCGGCAACCCTCATTTTTGTTCTCTGAGATGTCATGGACCTCATCTACATTGATCAAGGCTTGATAGTCCTCATCATTATTCCCTAACTCTGGGACAACTAGAGATTCGACTTCATTGGTCAATGCACTAGTCACATCTTCATAAACTGAGGTATGGAGCACTTCATCTCCAGTAACAGGGACATGATGTGACTTATCCGTCTCAATTGGTACATCACCAAGTTCTTCCAAAGCCTCTTGTTGATTTCCAGAATCAAACTTAACCTTTTCCTGTGGCATGTATAAATCACCGACAATGCCAGCTTCCCACACCTCACCACTGCGGCTGAAATCACCACTTGAGCTCTCCCCAGGTCCCAAGTGGAATTGGGGTTCACTTAGCTGCACATCCTCCACATTCTCCTCGGTCGAGGAAATGGGGGCGGTGAGGACATGCCCATCCACACTAACCAAAACCATCTCTGAATTGCTCCCATCAGGTTGCTTTGCCGAATCTTCCGCTACCTCCATCCTGCTATAACCGTATGAATCAAACTCCTCTATAGCTTGCTTCTCTTGACACTCTACATTCGACTCCGGGCTACCTGGTCTGCCTTTCGCTCCGATGTAAAGATCCCCGTCGCTCTTACTCCGCGCCGGAGGTTCAGGCTCACAGCTAGCTTCCTCTTCCTCCGAACTTGTCCCAGAATTTTCACTGCCAGGCACAAGCTCCCGCATGAAGTAGGCTTGCCCAGAGTTGTCGAGCTGCATGTGGAAGCTGGCGTCCACGCCATTGACGGTGATGGTGACCACCTTCTCCGCGCCCTTGAGAACGCCCTGGAACTTGCCGAACCGGACGTACCAGGGCGTGCTCCTGTACGAGCCGTCAGGCTGCTCGACCGCGATGATGTCGACCGCGCCGCCGAACGGGTGGAACGGCGTCGCGACGGAGTACACCCCCTGCGAGATCAGCGACCCTACCCGCCCAACCACGTTCATCTCCGCCGCGAGGATCCTTCGATCACCGCGCCAACGTCGGGCATGGGGGTTCACCTAGAACCCCCGATTTCTCTCCAAACAAACTGCAAAAAATCAGCAGCGCACCACGCATCAAAAATTTTTAAAAAATTCCAGAACAAGGAAAACCAAACCAATCCAATCCAATCCAAGCCGGAGGGGTCTCCAGTCCACGCCACGCCGGGCACGTGAAGCGGCGGAGGGAGACGAGGGCGGGATACGGGAGGGGAATGGATGATACCTCGAATTCGATTCGAGTGGAGACGGAAGCCGACCACCGGCTGGTCGGCCGCGCGCGCGCGCGCGGGGGCCGGGAGGGAGTGAGAAGGCTAGGGCGCGGTGGCGACGGGAGATGGGGGAGGCCGTCCACGCCGTGCCTGCCTCGCCGCCGGCGGAGCGCCTCCGGCTCTGCAGATCGGGGGAAGCAAAGCAACGAGAGGGGAGGCAGCGACGACGGAGAGAGAGGAGGGAGGAGGAGAAGAAGAGAAGCGAGGAGGCAGAAGGGCATTTGCGTCATTCCACATTTTCTCGCCGTTTTTAAAACATAATTCGAAATTGAAATTCTACACGCCATTGGGAATTCCATCTCCCTTCTCCCACCAAGGTTTCGTGAAGGAAATATCCGCGAAAATTCTGGCAAAATTTCCTTCGACGAGAAGCCACGCGACGCGAACATGGGGAAGGTCGTTTCCGGAAGCTTCTGGAACCTTCCATGTCGAGGTTGGAATTGGGGATGGACAGGTGGCCGTTGGATGGGAGGCATCGCGTGGGGCACACATGCGATCCACACCCTCGCGAACCGCCTGCACCGCACGCTCGTGTCACTGGCACGTGGGCCACGATGTCCTCCGGGACCACGTGCCATAGACTGGGGCTCGTGATGCTATAGGTGGCCGTAGAGATTTCTGGCGACGTATAACACGCCAAAATGTTCTGGTGATGGGACAGATTAACCAAAGTAGGCTTAAAAAAATTCGGGTCACGTGAGCCTGGCATCGTGCGCCCCACAAGATTTGTGCGATGGGGTGTCCACGTGTAAAAACTTTAGTACTGACAAGATAATGTTGTTTTTTTATTTTTGTAAACTGCCTTTTGGAGCATTAGTATACTAGTATAACGAAATACAACGTTGCTGTGAATAAAACGTAGCTTAATTATTCGGATTTGCTAGAAATATGGCGCCATATACTACAGTCGATTTTTTTTCAGCCACTTACAGAGTAGTTACACCTCATTTACACCCCACTTACGTATGTAATTGGTATGTAATTTTCGAATTTACATATGTAATTTTAGTACTTACATATGTAATTTAATTTTGAGACTTACATTGTAAATACACTAAAATTACATATGTAATTTAGGGACTTACAATGTAAATACATGCTGACTTTTTTTTGATGAAAAATATGGCGCCATATATATAGCTACACCCTAATTATTTAGGTTCTTTTTAAAATATATTCAGTTATTTTTAAGTAATATTAGATTCGATATGATTATTTGTATTTATAATTAATTATTTTTTAATAATAGATAACATGATGATATACACTGTGGAGTACTCCCTTTGTTCTAGAATATTGCTAGTTTTAGAGTTGGACACGGTTATTAAAAAATAGGTAAAATTAAATAGAAAGTGATTGTGATTGGTTGAGAAGTAGAGGTAGGTGGAAAAACTGAATAATAGATGGTTGTGATTGGTTAGGAAATGAATGTTAATTGAGAAGTTGTTATGGAGTATTTTTTGAGACGGAAGGAGCATGTCAGTATGTATTCATAGTGATGAGGGTGAGGGTGTAATTGTGAGTGCTTATGTTCTGTTAAAAAAAAGTACACGTCCCTGATTGGTCTTGTCATTATTGTTGTCGCACGCGTTTGACCTACCTAACCTAAACGTCGAACTTTGTTAATCGTTTGTACTCACGAGACCGCGACCGCGGAAATCACCATCCTGCCCTCGCGGCCTGGCTCGTCTTCGTCTTCGTCGTCTCCCCGCTCGTGCGCGCGATGGAATGGTGCGCGAAGGAAGCAAAAGCCAAATGGCGTGCGGATATGATGTATTGATGTCGCCCGCGTGTTTCGACCCGTTCGACGAAATCCGGCGCTTCCGGAGAGAAGAGCAGTAGAGCACCGCGCGGGGAATATGCCAGTATGCCATCCTCTCCGTACGTGCGGACGCGGTGACCGGTCGGTTCCGTGACGCAACCGGGGTGCTGTGCCTGCGACCCTGTGTGTGTGTGGCTGTGTGCGCGACCGTGTCACCGTGAACTTGTACGTTATTTCCTCGTGGGCTTTCCAGTAGCCGTCGCCGTCCCGCCGTACGCGACCGTCATCGGGATTGTGGTCCGAGAAAAGTTTGGATACGACTGGCGGCGTGGCACCGATGGGGATGGGGGGATTGAAGATGAAGGGCAAGTTTGGTTTGGTGCCATACTAAAATTATCAAAGTTTAGATAATTTTTGGCACTACTAAATTTAGATGGCTAAAACTTTTACTATCTAAAGAGATATATTGTTAAAATTTAGCATTAATAAAAAAACTAGAAATACTATTAAAAATTACCAATAAATTAGTAGGGCGGAATTTGGAACCGAACCAAACCAACCTGAAGCGAACTACTCGCCGCGGCAGAGTTCGCGGGCTTGATGTGCACGGCCCAAACAGGCAAAATCCTGAGGGGGAGAGGCAGTCGAACGGCCTCGTGCGATGAGCGGCCCAGCAACCCAGCCGAACCGTCGACTTTGCCGTTGCGCACCGGTGGAGAACCGCGGGCCGAGCGCACTTCAGCTGGCCGGTTACTTCCCCGGGGGCCGGGGGAAGCTGAGCTGGTCACGCTCCGACCGCCGCAACACACACACACACACCTGCCACCAGTACCACAATTCTCAACCGTCGGCATCGGCAGGACTACCGATCGAAACCGTCGGCATCGGCAGTTACTGGAGGAGGTGCTGGTGCTTTGTGAATTTTCTGGTGATTAGCACTGTATGCGGTTTCATTTGGCCCCACTGATGTATTAGTAGCGTAAAAATGAGAAAAAACTGCATCGTACTAACATATTTCGTACTCCCTCCGAGCTGAGAGTAGTTTACGTATCGTTTTGGACAAGAATGATATCAAACTTTAAAGTTTTGGACAAGAATGATATCAAACTTTAAAATCTTTGATTATGAAAATTTTCTAAAATATTTGTCTTTAAACTATGGTGACTATATGTATATATTAATCTTAAAAATACTTCAATTAAATTATATATTTGTTAACATTTATATACATATTATAATAAATAATAATGATTAAAGTTGTTTTTGAAGACCGTGCTCTTGTTCAAAACGACGAGTATTATAAACCCGGAGGGAGTATTAGTATTAGATTTGTTTACGAGTAAATTTCACTTCATACTATCTTTTTTATTCCCGATGTTTTATTTTGGATCATCCTTCAAACCAATGTTTTAATTTTAGACTAGACAATTTTATCTCAGCGACACTTTGGATCACCCTTTATTCTTTTATTTATCTACTTCTAATTTATCATATGTTAAAGAAACGATCTATATATAGCTGAGGAGTTTATTGGTGTTTGATGAAAACAAAACCACGAACACACAGAAAATAGGAAAACCCTGTATTTTATTAATCATGATTCATTAACATGAATATTTACAAATACATGATGGCTCCCGCAGGAGTTCGCCTTTTGCCTTCACGAGAAATGCTTAATGGAAAGGTATGCTGACTCGAGATTGCGTACAGTCCGCTGATTCCCGGCGCCTAGCAATAAGGCTACCGGTTAATTACATCCACATGAGCGAGCCTATGGAACACCTCCGATTAAGCTGCGCTTTAGGATCGTTGTCTTCAAAATTAATTACTCGCCGAAGGTTGAGGTTGGTGCAGATTTAACGTTGAATATAGTGAATGTGGAACAGGTGGCTTTGTTTCGCCAAAACCCGGTCACAATACACTACCATCACGTCGGTGTGCGGAGAGAATTTGGTGAAGCGGGTGACCTTTGCCTCGTCGGTGCCCAGTCATGTACCCTAGCCTTCATCAAACATGGATTTTGTGGTTGCTTTTGCCTCGTCGGTGCCCAGCAACGGTGTATCCGTTTCCTGTCCAATTTAGACGTGTTAATAGTATAGTGACCTGGCCATGTTGGCACTCGGCCATGGTTTCGTCTAGCCTCGTCAGTCATAGACAGATGGAATGAGTGAATGGCTCCAATCTTGTTAGCTTTAGCTAATATGTTGTCCGGCCTCGTCGGTCTCGGACGTAGCACAAATATTGATAAATCGACCATTTCATCTCGTCGATACTCGGCCATGGTGTCGACGTGTATTTTAAATCTGCATGCCTCGCCCTCCTAGCTAGCATTGTTTTTGTTGTCTTCAAGAATTGTGGGGATTGCTCCCGCTCATATGGTAGAATTTGGATAGAGAAGGAATTGCTCCCGTACATGACATGCACGAGGCAAATCGATAGTTGTTCAGGCATGAATAAAAATATGTATAAATCATGGTTGGTCTGATACCAATAAGTCTCAAACTCATCCCAAGTTTATACAAATAAATATCCAGCTCCAATATTTGATATTGATAATTTAGACAGTCCAACCCCCACGAGGGTCAAGCTCGCCTTATATTTATTTGCAGCCCATATTAATCGCTTGACAAAGATGACGTGTGCGTGTGCATGCGCCACTGGGGATACTTATATCCATGGCTACAAGTTCACAACGCATCCACGACATATTCATCGATACTCCACTTTACTGTTTTACCGTCCGGACTGTGTAACTGCACAACACTACGGTATATATTTGCTCCCTCTAGAAGATAATGCCGGGCGTTGTTGTGTTTGTATTGGATAAGCAACTTGACGGAGAACGAGATTAGCTTGTTATTGATGACTCGCCGATAGAGATGCCATCAGCGCCGGCGACTACAGGTTGCTGATCCGCGATCACGCACCCTGCGTCATGCGCGTGCATCTTCTTTCTAATCTCTCTACGATGTAGAGAATATTGTGTGGGTGCGAGTGTTCACCTCTCTAGGGCATATTGCTGCTTTAATGGCGCAGCGCTTGTGCCGTGTGTTCCCCCAGCCGCGACGAGGGGTCGACTGCTTTATGTAGGCAGCGATGACCACAACGGCCTCGCTAATTCTCCGTGAATCGAGCGTGATAACGCGTTTAATCTGTTTTGGCCTCATCGATCTGCTACTGCAGATAAGTGCGACGCATGCAGATGCCGGCCACCTGATGCATGCGGATAGAGTTGCTGGTGTCGGAGATAATCACTGAGATTAACATGGCTGATGACGGTGGGCCCCACGTCTTATTTGAATTTGTTACCAGTGATAATTACCCACCGGTGAAGTAACAAACCGATTAATGGGTATACTGCTAGTACTAGTGGATCTCTTCTCTTTTCAAGCTTATATCTCTTCAATTGTGCATTAAATTTGAATTTTATTCGAACCATTATTTTCTATTTGAAATGTACAACAAAACGAGCCCAATATTGATTATATTCGGACATTATGTGATATTTGAATTTTTCTAGACCCACACGTCACAGAGACACGCCTCACATGTATTCAGTAAAATTGGGCTATAAATAATATTCTCATATAAAATTAAATGCCCAATAATTTATTATTTCTTCTATGAATTTTAGCACAAAAATTCATCAAACAATTGGCGAGTAGTAGCCAACGTTCTCCCCAAGTCAACCTCCCCACACCGAACTCTCACCAATCTCGAGGCGCATCCGACCCTCCCGCGCCCCACCACATAAGCACCCCCCGCTCACCTCGCCCCGCCACGCGCACACCGACACTTCTCCCCCGCATTCTCTCACCCACCCACACCGCGCGCCACAGATCTCGCCGCAGCCATGGCCGCCGCCGCGCGCCGCCTCCTCCTCCTCGCCATCGCCGTCGCGGCGGTGTCCCTCGCGCCCCGCGCCGCGGCGGAAATCAGGACGGAGGCCTTCCGTGAGGACCCGAGGCCCACCATCCTGTTCGAGAAGTTCGGGTTCTCCAAGACGGGCGCGGTCAGGATCGTCATCACCGGCGCCGGCATCTCCTCGACGTTCGCCCGCCCGGACCCCAAGCAGCTCGGGTTCTTCCTCCTCTCCGACGAGTCGATGTTCCAGGCCATCTACGAGGCGCAGGCGCGGCGGCCGCCGGAGAGGCGGGAGGAGGTGGCGGGCGGCGGCGCCGACGAGCCCGACGTCTCCCGCTGCATCCTCACGAGCCCCTACGTCAAGACGCTCTTCACCTTCCACGACCTCAAGCGCGGCCACTACAACAAGACGTTCCCGGTCACCCACCCCGACGAGTACAGCCTCTACTTCGCCAACTGCGCGCCGGAGTCGCTCGTCACCATGAGGGTGCGCACCGAGATGTACAACGGAAACGCCGACGGCTCCGTCGACTACCTCCCCGTCGGCCAGGCGCCCGTGCCGGCGATCTACGGCTTCTTCGCCGCCTGCTACGCCGCGTTCCTCGCCGCCTGGGGGTACCTCACGCTCTCCTCCCGCGACCACCGCGCCGCGGCGCACCAGATCCACCACCTCATGTCGGGCCTCCTCGCCGCGCGCCTGCTCTACTGCCTCTCCGCCGCCGAGGACCAGCACTACATCCGCGTCACGGGGACGCCGCACGGCTGGGACGTCGCGTTCTACCTCTTCCAGCTCGTCAAGGGCGTCGTCCTGTTCGCGGTGATCGTGCTCGTCGGCACGGGGTGGTCGTTCCTCAGGCCGGTCTTGCAGGACAGGGAGAAGAAGGTGCTCATGGTGGTGATCCCGCTGCAGGTCATGGCCAACATCGCGTCCGCCGTGATTGGGGAGACCGGCCCGTTCTTGCAAGGGTGGGTGACATGGAACCAGATCTTGCTGTTCGTCGACGTCGCCTGCTGCTGCGCCGTGCTCTTCCCGGTCGTCTGGTCGATGCGATCGCTCCGGGAGACGTCCAAGACTGATGGCAAGGCAGCGCGGACTCTATCGAAGCTCACCCTGTTCCGGCAATTCTACATTGTGGTGATCGGTTACCTATACTTCACTAGGATCGTCGTGTATGCGCTCAAGACCATTGCCAGTTACCAGTTCCGGTGGGTGAGCGTCTTGGCCGAGGAGGTGGCCACATTGGCATTCTACCTCTTCATGTTCTACACATTCAGACCGGCCGAGAGGAGCAGATACTTTTCGTTCGACGAAGATGAGGAGGAGGCTGCTGAGATGGTGCTCCGGGAAGAGGAATTCGAGCTTTGATGAGTTGCGGCGATTCGCAGCAATGGCGGCTGCCTGGCAATTGGAAAATCTGCTCACCTTGTTCATTTGATCTCTTCTCCCTGTGAGATTTAGCACACCATACAAATTTCAGGAATATAGCTCATTGTCTTGTATTTACTACAGGGATGTAAGATTGTTTTGTTCCTCTCTCCTTGTAGCTTCAAATTTTACTGATGAGACTCAGGATACTAAACTGGACATGTACAAGAAGGTTTCTTGCTTGGAGGGCAATGTGGAAGGAAGGAATTAATTCAGCATGTACTATTGCTTAGGGAAACCTTCAAGCTGTCTGCATTTTGTGTACAAATTCTCCATTGTTTTCTTGCTTGGAGGGCAATGTGGAAGGAAGGAATTAATTCAGCATGTATTATTGCTTAGGGAAAGCTTCAAGCTGTCTGCATTTTGTGTGGTAGACAGTCCTTTCACTTGGCATGTTTGACTTCAGGTGCTCCTTCTGTTATACGGAGTACTATACATTCAGTAGTATCAGTTAGTTCTTTGATGTGATGATCAACCCTTCTATTGATATGGTTTGTCAATGACCACTTAAATGCATCCAAGTCCAATCACCCATTTTTCTCTTACTTGCATTGTTCTCTCCATTTGTTATGTACAAATTGTCCTCTCTGAAATATAAAACACTGGGGTACCTTTGTTTTTTAAACTAGAAAAATACCCCGCGCGTTGCAGCGGAAACTTATAAAAATGTAAGAAGGCTTATTAACTAAATTACAGAAGAAAAATACTAATGTGCTAAAAATAACTATATATGTTTTTAAATATATGACACATTTGACTTTTTATATGCGTTTCCCTACTCATTTTATTCAATTTGTTTGTGCAAACGTATAAAAATATAAGTCATGCTTAGAAAACATTTAATAATAAATCAAGCCATAACAAAATAAATGATAACTACATACTTTTTTAATAAAATAAATAACTAAACATATTTAAAAAGTCAATAACGTCGTATATTAAAAAAAAGTACGATCTGGCAATTGCTCTTTGACGTAGATGCTAGTTTGTTGTGAAGAATGTGCTCCATGAATATCCAAATAGTTGATGCTCTCATGCTCTGTTCTAAACATTAAACATATATTGACTCAAGATTAAATATGGTGTTTGTATCTCTCAGTTCGATGATTTGCCTATAGCATTATCTAAAAATATTAGACAAGGCCTAACACATATATTCATCCGAAGAGAATGTGTTATATAGCAAAAGCACGCAAAATAACGACCACTTTGTATTATCATTTGCATCATCGAAGTGTCAGTGTTAACAAAATCTATGAAATAGACGGTACATTTAAGAACTAATATAGCAACACGTGGCACATATATGAATGTAATTTATACTAATGGCCTGATTTACACGTTGATGCATAGACGTAATTATCCCAAAGTGAGATTCCAGTGAAAGCAGAAATTTCATGAAGCCAGGCAAGGAGTTACCTTTAGTAGTCCTTTTCCCTTTGTTTGAAGAGCTCTTGTAAAACAGGGAAGATGATAAAGTATGTCTATTTTATCAAATAGGACTTGAAGAAAATGAGAACATGGATAGACCTATATTACGCTTACCATGTCTAAAACAATGCAAAATTAATAAACAAAAAGATTAGCAGTACTATCCTGTATGGGCTTTTTTCTCATGCTCGAGAGTTCACCATTCAATCTTGAATCGAGTAGATTTCTGCATTCATCTGAAGAGTGTTAGCGAGGGAAAACATATCCCGAAGGAAACCAAGATTAGGAATAGAAAGGAGAACGATCGGAAGAGGCAAAGGAAAAGCAAGAAAAGAGGAAACAAATGCTACCTGTTGATTCTGTGAACACATCAGTCATTAAGAAGTAATCATAGTGGGTAATAAAACTGGCAGTTTCGAAAGATAAAGCGCTTGGGAGACATGGAGGTACTCAAGTGGAGCTTGATGTTTTTGCTGTAGATCCTAATCAGTGAAAATCTAAGACATCGATTGCAAATCTAATGGTTAGACTAATTTAGAGTGATGTGGCAAGCTGTGAGATGAGAGAATTAGAGTTAGTGGGGATGAATTGTATAGGTATATAGGATATAGGATGTCGTTAACTTTTAAACACATGTTTAACCATTCCTGTTAAAAAAAATTATGCAACTATCATTTATTTTGTTATGAGTTGTTTTATCACTAAAAGTATTTTAAATATGATTTATATCTTATGCATTTAATTTTTTTTAATAAAACGAATGGTCATATCGTGTGTCCAAAAAACAGCAGTATCATCTAATAAAAAAGGGACGTTGTAGTTTGAGATCTTCATGGTATCATGTGACCTCACATGACGAGGGGCAGGACAGCATCCCAAATTGAAATTAGAGTGAGCACTGCTGGTCTCAAGTTGGTCATGTGTGTAATGGATGGGACAACAGGGCAACTTGCTCGCTTGGTAGCACATCACTCTCCAGTCTTTTTTGCATGGATTGGTGCCAATTGAAAACAGCATTTGAAAATTATTAAGACCCTAACCACTATAATGACTACCAAAGTTGGTGGAAAAGGCATGGCAAGATCTCGTCGGTGAGCCCAATGATTCATCCCCAGTTAATTCTTTAGTTCGTGTGAGTTGTGTTGCCCGTATTGAAGGTAGTCTCCCTATACTGGCATATATTTCAGTCATTATAACCAGTACATTTGATAAGTATTATATTTGTTTTTTTTAAATAGATGATACCGTTAACTTTTGCACATACATGTGATCATTCATCTTATCAAAAATTTATATAATTATCATTTATTTTGTTGTGAGATATTTTATTACTAAAATATTTTAAATATGATTTATATCTTATGCATTTGCACATAATTTATAATAAGACGAAATGATCAAACGTGTGTTCAAAAGTTAATGCATTATCTATTAGAAAAACAGAGGAAATAGTAGTCAAGTATCTCTCCTCATGTTTTAAGTAACGTGAGCTCTACCACCAATGCATTTTTTTTCAGAGGACTACCAATGCTTCTGAAGATCTAAAATGTGCATAACCTAAGGCTCTGCTCCTTTTCGGCGTCGTTTCAGTCTCAGACACCAGCACGGTCGATGAGGCCAGTAAACTTCGTATCAATCCAACAATTTTCTCCAAAATTTACCACAGCTTACTTCCCATGCTTATAAATTCTGAAAAAAGAGAGAGAGGAATATGGTGTATACGAACGAACAGTTCAAACAGAATGTTCAGGTTTCGCTGCATGTCTGAAATTGTTACTTACCATAACACCACCATCCATGTATCCATAGTGCCATTCACGAAATCGCTGCCGGCTAAGGACAGCAGGTTGGTTGCCGGCAAATATAATGCAATTAGCCCAGTGGTTACCAACTAACGCCACAGGTTCTGGAATCTTTCAGTTCCACTGCAGCATTATTGTCGTTTGGTTGTCACGAAATCCGCTTTCTTTCGGTCTGCACCTAATTCTCCCTTTCCCTGTGCAGTGCAGTAGTACCGGATTTGCAAGGTGGTCGCCGTATTCTCCATTCGAGCCGGTCAAGCTCAGGACACCTGCTCTTCGTGCCACACAACCACAGGATGATGGCTTCGCTTCGCGTCGGCTCCTGGTTCCTCTGTCTTGGGTTCCGGTGGAGTCGTGGAGATGGCAAGGGCGGACGCAAGAAAAGAAAACCGGGTGGAGGTTAGTCGTTAGAGTTGTACTTCCTCCACTCAAAAGTGGTAGACTTATTTTAATTATTATTTTTAAATAAGTTGATCGTATTTGTAATCTTTATATATTCATTCAAGACTTAAATTAAAAGATAAATTAAACTTTCGATTAGACTCTAAATTGGTTGCATGCATGCATGCATGCATACACTCTAAATCTTTGTTACATACTCCCTCCGTATTTTAATGTATGACGCCATTGACTTTTTATCCAATGTTTAACCATTCGTCTTATTCAAAATTTTTGTACAAATATAAAAATATTTATGTCATGCTTAAAGAACATTTGATTATGAATCAAGTCACAATGAAATAAATGATAATTACACAATTTTTTTTAATAAAACGAACATTCAAACATTAAATAAAAAGTCAACGGCGTCATACATTAAAATATGGATGTAGTATCAGATTATTTTTTTCTTGATCTCAATGGCAAAAGTAATACGTGTAACTCTTTTGAATAAAGGAAGTACACTCAAATAGACATGGGAAACCCCACAGCGTAGAGATCAGGATATATGAATATAAATATGAGAAAAATAAAAATATGCTAGATCCGTCGTGTTTCTTTCTAACGCTGAAGATTAGCATAAATAAAAATCATATAAATTTTACGCTGCAAACTACTCATATCGAGGACCATATAACCAGTGGCGAAGCCAGAGACATTTTGCTAAAGAGCTAGTAATTTGTTATAGAAATTTTATCAATTCATTCAACAGCATAGAAAGTTAATAGAGCTTTTGTGGGCCAGGCGGTGGCTCCGCCCTAACATATAATGTCTGCAAACTCCTCAAGAAATTTGAGTACCATTAGACTTGGAGAATACGTTTCCCACAATGAGAGTAATAAACATGTTAGTACAAAACCCTATTATCTAACGGATAAGCTATATAAGTAATATATTGATTTTGTACATCAAAGACAAAATAAAACTTCAGAACCATAATACTGGATTATATGTCACGTGACAAAATCTATGTAGTTTATCTATGTAGTTTTATGTAACTTGGTTCAAAATAGGTGAGGTTTTTTTTTAAAAAAAAAGAAATAAAAGCTTAATCTCCTATGTATGAGTATTACACTGTATAAAAAAATCCCGGGGCTCACGTATTAGAAATATATTTTAGCTACAAATAGTTGGTGAAAATGGTATGTGTGAAGTGTGTTGTACAAACAAATGTACCATACATATTCACTCTCAAAATTTTGGTTTACACTTTACATGTATCTGGGATCTGGGTTACCAGAAGTTCATACATTTTCTGTGTTTCTGTGAGACCACAGGCCAGCGGCAAAGCTTTCTGCAGGCTTCTCGTTTTGGATGTGTTGTCCAGTATATGCCTCACCGTTGCATTGAGCATTGCAGTTGTTGCATCAGGTGCAAACACCCGGGAACAAGTTGAGCACTCAGTAGTCAGCACTCTCCTATTTGCTCCAACTCCAAAGCTCCGGAAGCATAATGCCCTTCATCTGCTGCTCCATTTCATTGAGCTCCATAACTGGCACGATGTGTACTGGAGACATTTGCAGTACATCACAGGCTCACAGATCGGCACAAACATACTGGACTTATCTATCATGGTTACAATTTTTGTCGCTATGTCCGCGCCAAAAAGTCATTAACTGCAAGTGAGGCATCACCATGTGCGACGGCATTCTCTGGCTCTGGCATGTAAAGTGTAGTAGTAGAAGCCTGCCAAGCAAAGAAAGGCACGAACATTACCAGATTATATTATAGAAATACGCTAAGGTCAATGGTTGACATTCGAGGAAAACATGTACACGTATAGCTATCGAATATACCAGGTAAATCACATATTTCAGCAAAACACCATAAGTATTCAATTAGTATGAAATGGACTCAATTTGTGAAATCATCCCTGCAAACTAATACAAGATTATCTGCATCTTTGCACAATCCAAATCAAGCAGATATTCAATTGGAGCTCTTATGTAGAATTAAAATAACTCGAGAAAGAGAATGATGGTACTAATTTAGGCTAGCTGAATGGCTTTGTGCATTTAGGGTGCAGCTGCTGGGATATTATTGTTCCATAGCCTAGACTAGATGAACACTCTTAGCTGGGACTAACACATTTACTCCCTCCGTTTCACAATGTAAGTCATTCTAGCATTTCCCATATTCATATTGGTGCTAATGAATCTAGACATATATATCTATCTAGATTCATTAGCATCAATATGAATGTGGGAAATGTTAGAATGACTTACATTGTGAAACGGAGGAAGTATCACTTAGCTGGGAGCCTGGGAAATAAGTCACCCATTTATATTTATATTATACCCTTCCACTGGTCGTGCAGACTGAAAATAAGTCACCCATTCATATCTATGCACTTGCTGTCCTATGATGATCATTACAATGTTCTAAGAGAGATTAGTAGTACCTTCGTGTCTAATTGCAAGTCTCTGCTGTTGTCTATTGAAAGAATAGCACCATGAGCTTTTAACCACATTTCACACTCTTCTGATGCTTCACTATCAATTCTTGAGAATCCCAAAATTTGTGCAACATATCCCACTGGTATAGTCGGGCGATATGATTTAGACATGCATTTTACAGCCTCAAAACGCATTCGCTCCACATATAGATCTGTCAAAGTGATCCTCAACAGACATCAATTTTTTCATGAATACAGAATAGATTTTTTAGCCAAATACAGAAGCACATTGAATTGATACAGATAGTATTTAGTCCTTTACCCATGAGGCAAGAATTCAAGTTCGGTGCCTGCTTGTATAGTTTGAAAAATAGGACATAGTTTCCAGATGAAACAGCAGAATGAACTGCAAGGGCATGCTTGACAGCTTCATCTTGTTTGGCTTGTTTCGATAACCTGAAAATAATGAGTATGTCAAACGTGGTCAGTTTAAGAACAAAAACTGGTCAATATTCTGCCAGTGTACTAGTATAAAATAGTACCTTGCCAATGATGACAGCAAGTCTCGTTTATTATTAGAGTGCAACATGACACAGAGTAAATTGTACGCAGAGAATTCAAAGTAACAGCCCTTGATTCCCTCTGCATATAGCCTCTTCAGTTGTGACTGGCACTGCAAGAGATGTTGCGTGCATAAACAGTTAGAACTACAATACCCATGCATCACTTAACATTTTTTTTTTTTTGCACAAAGATTGCAAACATAAATTTTCTAATTTACAAATGTAGTTGCAGTTTCCAATGACAATCAACTTTCGTGAAACAGCAGTACCGTTACGGGCTTATGGCCCCAAGGACTAGTCTTTGGTACTGTTCACACGTTTTACTGTGGCACCATGAGGATTAATTTTCTATAGATATAGGATTAGATTTATTAGTATCATCTATTCCATAAGAATATTGAAGATAATTTTCTTAGGGTTTAAGTTATCCTATTATATAAGGATGCATTCTTGTCTCTTTTCGTTACACGATGATAAAATCCAAAGTAAAACTAAGCTTCAGAGCCTCTCTAGCTTATAGGTAGAAGCCATGTTGGCGGCTAGATGAAGGTCAGTGCTCTACCTTTGGTCTTCAAAAGCCTATCCGAAGCTAATCCATATCAATACTCCACATGGTAATCTGAAGCTCCCTCCAGTCAAAAATAAGTGTCGTTTTAGAACCCGTGAAGTCAACAGAAGTTAACTTTTGAAAAAAAAACTATTGTTTAGAATATATGTTTTGGGTATACGAAAATGATAAAAGCTTTCATGATATTACACTATGCGACTATTATTGGATTCATTTATGCAAAAGAATTAAGCCGTTAAAGTTATGCATTATTGACCTTGAAAATTCTAAAATGGTACTACTTTACTAATTTGTGACTAGAGGGAGTAGTAAGTGGGACCAAACTTGGGATTGTCAGTGTCAGCCCACCGATAGAAAATTACTTGACCTCTATTTTCTTTATGCATGTTATCTAACTAAACATGAAGATGAAGTTGCAAAACTATGTCCTGCAACAGAAATATTGAGCATATGCACAAACACAATTATTTGATATCCCAAGAGAATAAACTATAACAAAGCATACCTGGTTATATTCAGGTAGGTCACCTGCCTGCATTGCTAAACGTGCATGAGTTTCATAAACCTGAAATAACAAACCTAAAGGTTAGAAGCACTAGTGGCATAACTGAAGTCCTGGTGCACAGCATTTACAAATATTTTCTTATGGTCAGTAATAGTAACTGGCAGCATAACTAATATGATATTGATATCTTGACAGAAGTAACTTATAAAGGAACTGCAGTTTTCTAGTTGCTAACACATTGTGGTAAGCACAATAGGATCATGATTCATGAGAAGAGGATACCTTGACAGTAAGTTCATTCTGGATTCTCTGAACTGTGAGATCTTGGCGAATAGACTTCAGTTGATCACATTTATAAAGATAATTCTTTTGAGATGTTTCAACCATGGAAAGGGCCTTCTCCAAGACATGCTCCGGTCTTACCTGCCAAGCATTATTCAGATAAGGAGAAGAAACAGTAGATATGATCAAATTGCAAAAGAAAAAAGATTTGCTATTGATGCTTTTCAATTAAGAATCCAGGACAACAGTTGGTGGGTTTTATTACTGTGGCAGGATCAGGTGCTGATGTAAGCCGGAGATATCGTTTCTCAATTTCTTGGCATGTCCCCTTTACTGTCAATGCATCCCAATCCATATCCTCCACAGCCAAGGTAGTGCCATCTTCACAGCTTCTGGCAAGAAGAGCTGAAACAGCTCTTCGTGCATGTATATTAGCCATTACATCTTTACTTGCTGCAGAATTCCTCGATTTAGATGATGAATTCTGGTTCTTCTCAAAACGCTTTGACCTATGCTCCCTGCGCTTCTTCTCCTCAGGTGAATTTGCTAGTGCGGTTGCACTGGCATAATATTTGGTTAGATCCTGCTCCTTATCACTATCACTTGAAGCATTTCCATTTTGCATTTGATCTGAGTAACTGCTGATCTTTTGCTTCTTGGCAGGCCGCTGACTGACTTTGTTTGCAGTCGCATGATGAGACTGGAAAAATTTTCTGGAATCCCAGTTATTACTCTGCATGGCATTCATTCAAATATTTCAAATACTAAGTAGAGCAATAACACAGGTATTTGATATTGGCAATTCAGAAATGGAAAGCCATACATGTAGTTAAAATATGGAAATCTGTTCCTCTTGTACATTGACTGATTAGTATGAGATTTTGCAAGAGTTCACATGCCGGTTCTTACCATTCTGTTTTTGGCTTCCAAATTATTGTGGGTGGTACCATTCACCAACCCTTTTACCGGTTCCACCTTATCTGTAACCTTTTCCTCCACAACAGGCTCCCACCTACTTTTTTGGCGTCTCCTATTGGTAGATGTCGACAAGGAGGGACTTGAATTGTTTGCACTGCTATATGGAAAACAAATAGCAAAAAGTTAATTCAGAAATATGTGATTCTGCATAGCACAGAAGCAGCAATGAGCCAATGACTCAAAACTTTCTTTAGTGAAAGGAAGGAATCCTAATTTTGCCTACAACACGAATTTGGGCATAGTAGTTTGTGGCAAAATTAGATGGATCACTTTTAACCCAGTATCTATGTAATGCAAACATTTGATTAAGTATATGAATAGTTCTGCACCCAAAAACCAATTCCCAATAATCACATCTTAATTATTTTCTAGGGTTATCATGGTTAGAAATCGGAGGAAGGGTATAGGATTTTAAATATTCTTCATGAAATGATACATCCATGATTCCACCATATACTGCCCAATAAGATTAACATATGTCCAAGACAGTTGAGACATATCCAATTATATAAATCTGAAGGCATCTTACTATTATTATAGATAAATTATTTTTTTGCGATATTTGCTTAGATCATAACACTTCTGATATAAATTACCCAGAAGATAACACTGTTAAGAAGGTGTAAGCTGGAATTTTCATTCATTGCATGGTGCTGGTTGCCCGAAAGTATAATTCTATAGCAACATAAGTCCAAAACAACAGATAAAAAATATCAGTCAACGTAGTTAAGTACTCAAAACACTACATTATCACTGTCCAGAGAATCCAGAAGCACAAACCTTGTTTCTGGAATGGTTGCAACATTTTGTACCAAAGGAAGCAGTGGCTCAGTGTCCCAATTCTTAGTAAGAAGGGTTCCATCAGCAATGGCGCTGTTTTTTATCTGATATTATATTAGGAAGATAACAAGACTGAGATACAGAGTCAACGAATTTACATCATTCTAAATTGACGTAAAAGAACCACAAAATAAACAAAGGAAAACATATGAATGAAGCACCACATCAATCGCTGGCCCAATAACTGGAGTGAATTCAACTAGAAAACTGTGATCAGCCATTTGTTGTGAATGGCAAATTGGCAACAGCCACGATGCCAATCTTTTTTACAACAAAATGCTGGCAACTAACAAAACGCCAAAACAATATAACAGAGATTTACCTCTTCTATCATACTCTGGCAAGCAGCCTTCTGGGCCTCATCCTTGCAACAGTTGAGATTCCTCGTAGCATAATTATGTAATGAAAAAGGGAGTGATCTCTAAACATGAGAATAGAAAAGTAGGTGGTGAATATGCAAGTACCAATATCTTCCTTGATTAAGTATAAGCATAATACGTGCTAACTTTTTGCGCTGGTTTTCCAAGGAATAAGCCAATGCATTCTCATAGACATCGAACGAATTTAAATATCATGAGTTTGAACTAACAAACTAATATATAATTTAATGAATCATTTTATATGCCAATAGCTCCCCAAATAGTCATTTTCCATATGAGCAAAAAAAATAGCCTTAGAAAGTTAGAACATCATGTGCCAGAAATGAAGAAAAGAAGAGCAGAAAATTACAGCATCATTCTTCACCATGGAAACACTAACATAAGCAGGCTTCTTTGACAAATCAGCACCTAAAATTTTCTTCTCGCTCTTTGGTATTACCATAGAAAAACCTGGAGCAATTCGAGGAACCTGCATTTTGTTTTCACTTGAATTTTCGGTTGCAATAAAAACCTGCCAATTTGGGTGTAAATTTTCAGATACATGGTCGACTGAGTAAATATTTGAGTTTGGACCGTTTGAACCTACAGTATTTTGTTGATCGCCATGATTGCTTTGCTGAACGGGGTTCAAATTCACAGTGCTCTGTGGGCAGGCTGGTGTCTGGCTGGCATAATGGTTTTGAGACCTTGGGTTACCTGCTACCTGGCCAGCATACTGGTTTTCCAACACCGGAGCGTGCGCCTGGTTGATATATTGATCTTGAGGCCCTGGACCACCTGAAGCCTGTAGGTAGATGAAATTTAGATATAATTATTTTCTATTCTCATGATGAAACAATCTATGTAGCGAGCTAAAGAACACAAGAAAATTGCCACAAGTCAAACAAGACAGAAAAGACATGACACTTCAAGACCTACAAGCAACAAAAAACCTTCATACGGTACAGATGATTTTCTTAGTATGCAATGTGCTATAAACTTCTCCATGCAAACACAAAGAGAAGTGCTAGTGCCAACCAAATCTACATGAACAAAGTACGGAAACAATCATCATGCATTCTGATGTTCCATATCGTAAAGAGCGTGTTTATAGCCCACGAAACTCATCGAAAAGAATGCTGCACCCAGATGCACAGCAAGCGGAGGAAGTTGAATTTGAGATAAGCTGACTAGGCATAACACATATGCAACACAAAATAAGTAAACACCATCTGTTGATCGAAAAAAAGAAATGATTGTCCCAAAATAGCAACATAACCAGATAGCTTAAAACCCATGATCAATAAATGTCCAGGGTGTGACCAAGAAGGCTATGTACAATTAGTAGCGATATACATAGAAAGGAAGGAATATACCTGAATAGGAGGCGCAATAGAAGAACTTGAATTACTTTTCCATGATGTAGTTCCTGGAGGAGGTGGCTGGATACTGGGATAGGAGTAGCTAGAAGTAGTGTTAACAATTGAGTTACTGTTCCCGACTGGATCACCAGCAGGATTTGGCACGGTGTGATTGTAATAGTATGGCCATTGGTTGTACTGCTGTTGGTATGAGAAAGAATTGGTAGGCACTGAAATGGAATGCTGTACTGTGTTGGTATTGGATGACGGGTAGTTCTGATATGACTGAGCATAATTATTTTCAAAGCTTCCACCATTCCAGGTGCTGTTCTGATAATAGCTATTGCTAGTTCCATATCCTGGAGCAGTCTGATGACCACCAGCATTGTAATATGTGTTACTTGTGGGACCAACGTAAGACTCTGAATTCTGAAATGAAGTAAGAGGCTGATGAGCTGCACCTGAATGTTGATTTGTTCCTCCTTGCTGGACAGAAGAACCATTTGTAGTTTGTGGGTAACTATAATAATAGTTTGCATATTCTGCAGCAGTGTACCCATGTTGAAGTGAACTTGAGTAAGGCATGTGAGAATGAGTCGCATTTTCTGTGCCCATAGTTGGCTGAGCATTATGAGGTGCACTGCTTGCCACACTCTGATTGTCTCCCGAAACCGAAACATCCCTTTGTGGATCATAGTAAACTGTATCTTGGCTTTGATTGTTCACTGGATAGCTCCACGGGACTGTAGCTGCCCCAGTTGAAGAGGACCATGAATGATGCCCTAAAGCTAAAGGTGGATAAGTAGATGGATTTGTCTGCCCCACAATGCTGACCTGCCATTAGCAAATAAAGGGGTCATGAACTCATGATCATTTATATAATGGCATAATGCACATAGCAACTTAGTTACAAAAGCCATGACCAAAAGATTCATCCTCACTGCAGCTTTAACCATTTCAGTAATTCATTGGCAAAATGCTTTAAGTCAGTACTATATTGCAACTAGAATGATTCGTACAACTAGGCTTCCATACAACCATAGATTCTCAGAATTAACATGTAGTTCTACGCATAGCAAAGACGTTCAAATCCGATCAAACTTCTGCTCTAATTTTTCTTTGCAAAAATTCAACGAAGCCACCTTGCATGAATAGTTTAGTTCCCTTGGCTAAATTTTACTTCTACCAATCACCCACATCCTCAAATTAGCTTAAGTTTGGTACAGTAATTAGCATAATATCAAATTCGTTGCATCCTAAATAGACACTAAATAAACGATCACATATTCAAAAAAAAAACAAATTCAAAAATCAATAGAACATCAGACGAGGCGCGTCATCTACCTCGGCAGGAGCGGCATCGGATCCAGCAGCCACCACCCCGGCGCCGTGGCTCGCCATCATTCCTCCCCCTCCCGGAGCTCCAACCCTAGCGAACCGGTCAACCGCCCGCCGCCACGCCAACGCAACGCAACGCACAACCGAACCGAGCTAGCGACCTCGATTCGTCGAGAGCGAGGCGAGAAGCCGATCGATCGGGGGGAGAGCAGCCGCACGCGAACGAATCGAAACCCTTAGGCAAAGGCGCGGTGGATTCAGGGAGGATTGGAATCGCGCGTGAGGTTTTTTTTTTTGTGTGTGTGTGTGTGGGAAGATGCGGGAAGCGAGAGGAGAGGCGGAGATGTTGCCAGCTACGGAAAGGAGGACGATTTTTTTTCGCCTTTTTGATTCCTTTTTTTACCGCGTCGCGTCGCTTTGCGGTTTGGTCGGGTGGTGTCGTCACTAGTGAGGAGGAGGCGGCGGAGGAGAGAGAAGGGGACGGTGAGATGCGTTCATGGGCCGTTAGATTTGAGCCCATGGGCCATAAATGATTGGTGGGCCCAGCCCATTTGGACCCAACTTCTCCACAAAAAAAAACGGCTGTTCTTTTTGTTTATGTTTTGAAGCTATTCCATTAATCTCTGCCACTAATGTTGATATGATTTCAAGTGAATTCCTGTGACTCTGAGCAATGCTATGCCATTTTCAGAAATTGCAATTGAGAGTGATGTGCAAGAGCCAACTGCCAAGTGCAGCGTCAGTGCGTCACACTCACTCACTGTTGTTAAAATTTTCCTGCGGAGGTCTGTTGAAACTAAAGCTCAGATGAAATTTCCTGAAACTATCCGGATTTCAGGCTAATTCAACTGCTAGAACCAACTGAAACAAAAGCACAAATGAATTTGCTGAAGGAATACAAATGCAACTGCAGTAACAGAAATATACAAACAAAAGCACAGATGAATTTGCTGAAGGAACCCAAAGGCTACTGCAGTAACAGAAATATGAAGTCCGAAATATTAAACGAATTGGATCTATCGTCAAATTAAAGCGACTCAGACACCGTTTGACATTATGCAAATTCGCTGTTCTTATTCTTGGTCAACGATGGTCAAATCAATACTACTCCCTCCATTCCAAATTGATCTACATATAATTTTTTTGAGGTTATTCCTAAATGATCTACATATTTGTGTTCATTCATTAGGTCTATTCGTTATTTGTGCATTGGAGTAAATAGACATTGATACATGCATCCATGCACACAAGCATTTATAACCCACATGCAATATTTTAATTTGCTATTGGCTAGAAAATAGTGGGGATGGTGCATGCATTGAGTTTATTGCTAGAGTAAATATAGAATGAGAGAGTTATTAGCTTTTTTTTTGTCTTGGTGTACCTATGGAATATGTAGATTAATTTGGAATGGGGGGAGTATATCGAACTGCAATGTAGCTAGATATCAACCACTTGTTGGAATTAATGAATGGGCCTTAGCCCACTCGAAAATTAATTCTTTGGAAAATCACAAAAGCCCGCCTCATGGGATGGCATGCATGTGGAGTTTAGTACCACATTGCTTATTCTAGGAGATGGGGACCTCCTTAAAAGGGAGGATGCCCTCCTAGCTACTTGAAGCATGTGTGGTGGAGAGAAGAGAGGAGAACACACGCGCGTGCTCGCTCGCCTCGCCTGACAGGGCAGGGCAGGCGGCGCGCGTGCACGACGTACGCGTCGAATGGTCCGCCAAAATTGGTTCCTCACCTTGCGCTCCTTTTGCAGTTTTGTTTTGCTGCAAATTCGGATTCGTTTTTGTTTTGGAAACGTTCCGAAAAATCTGGTGCATGCAAACGGCGTGGAGTCCGGATAAGTTACGCGTGGAGTGAAGATCGTGCGGGCGCCCTGATCAAGCGACCCTTCTCTATATAAACCGACCCGCCGTCTTCTCGCAACACACGTGTTTTGCCGTAAATTCGGATTCGTTTTTGTTTTGGAAACGTTCCGAAAAATCCGGTGCGTGCAAACGGCGTGGAGTCCGAATAAGTTACGCGTGGAGTGAAGATCGTGCGGGCGCCCTAATCAAGCAACCCTTCTCTATATAAACCGACCCGCCGTCTTCACGCAACACACGCGAAATCAATCTAGGGTTTGCCTCCTACTCTGTACTACACCGTCGCTCGTAGACTACTCCATCCCGCTCGCCGGCGTGCACCGGCGATTGGGAGACGTGGAGTCCGGATAAGTTACGCGTGGAGTGAAGATCGTGCGGGCGCCCTGATCAAGCGACTCTTCTCTATATAAACCGACCCGCCGTCTTCACGCAACACACGCGTTTTGCTGCAAATTCGGATTCATTTTTGTTTTGGAAACGTTCCGAAAAATCCGGTGCGTGCAAACGGCGTGGAGTCCGGATAAGTTACGCGTGGAGTGAAGATCATGCGGGCGCCCTGATCAAGCGACTCTTCTCTATATAAACCGACTCGCCGTCTTCACGCAACACACGCGAAATCAATCTAGGGTTTGCCTCCTACTCTATACTGCGCCGTCGCTCATAGACTACTCCATCCCGCTCGCCAGCGTGCACCGGCGATTGGGAGAGCAGGTCTCCGGAACCTCTGCCTTCGACGTCCTGCACCGGGAGAAGGCGGCAATAAGGTTTTTGGGAAGCGTTTCGCGCGACTGCTCCCTGTTCGTTCGCGACGGCTCGCCTTCCTCTTCGCTCACGTGCTTCGTGCCTTCGTAGACGCCTGCGAAAAGTTTCGACCGAGCAGCCGGTCTTTCCACCACCTCGGTACGTGTTCAATATGTTGCGTATATTTGATCTGTTCATGTTATACTGTATAGTTTCCATGTGTAGATCTAATGATGCGTTCATGCTAATTTTCATCTATAATGTCATGATTTATTTATGGAATAAATTAAATCATTATATGCCTATAATCTCAACACCACTAACCTATATCGAACTCAGCCTCAAAGTTAACCAAATCGCATTAACCCAAAACGCGAAGGCCTAGTAGAATAATCGTGCAGCACAAGGACGAACACAAATTGCACATCAACAAGAGGACAGATCCATAACATTGGCCCTGAAACATGTTTCAATTCAAATCCCAGGTGCAAACATCATCTGCTTCACAGTTTCATGATTCAGGTAAACCCTACAAAACTAAACGGCGAACTGAACAAGGTGGATTCCACGGCCAGACAACATGGGAGAGATGGGGGATGGAGGCACGATCGATCAGCCGCCGAAGCCGTAGAGGGTGCGGCCCTGGCGCTTGAGCGCGTAGACGACGTCCATGGCGGTGACGGTCTTGCGGCGGGCGTGCTCGGTGTAGGTGACGGCGTCGCGGATGACGTTCTCGAGGAAGATCTTGAGCACGCCGCGGGTCTCCTCGTAGATGAGCCCGGAGATGCGCTTCACGCCGCCCCTCCTCGCCAGCCTCCGGATCGCCGGCTTGGTGATCCCCTGGATGTTGTCGCGGAGCACCTTCCGGTGACGCTTGGCGCCGCCCTTGCCGAGCCCCTTGCCTCCCTTGCCGCGCCCCGACATGGCCGCCGACGACGACGATTCCGGTGGCTCGCCGCACGAGAGAGAGAGAGAGAGAGAGAGGAACGAGAGGAAATGGAGGAGGAGAAGAAGCGGTGGTGATTGGAGTGGGATTTGGGGGAAGAAAGGGGAGGGGGTTTTAAAAGGGGACGAGAGGATGGAGTGGGGAGGTGGCTGCCGTTGGATGGGTAGGGAGTGGACGGTTGGGATCTGGATGGCGAGAGGAGACGCGAATCGCTGACGTGGCGTGAGGCGCGGATCGGTGATTTGGCGGGACAGGTGCGAAATTTCGTACGGGAGGCGCCAGTTTTATTTTTCAGGCTGCCGCGTGGCGCGGTATTTGGAGTTTCGAAGTTTGCACCGGAAGGCCATTTTTGGCACAGCTCTAGCTTCAGCCCAGTCAAACAGTTTCAGCTCCACCAAAACTGGGAGTGGAGCTGGGTGAAGCTCTCTCACAAAATAAACTAGAGTTGTGGACTCCACTCCAAATCCACCTCCTGGAGTTAAATTTAGGAGTTTGAGCTGTACCAAACAGGCCCGAAATTTCGTACTCCCTCCGTATACTCCACCGACTTGGATCAAAGTCAAATTGCTTTAAGTTTAACAAAGTTTATAAAAAAAGAGTAACATTTTCAATCCAAGACAAATTTATTATGAAAATATATTTAATTATTGATTTGATTAAATTAATTTAGTATTATAAACATTCCTATATTTATCTATAAACTTAGTCAAACTTGAAGCAGTTTTACTTTGACCAAAATCAAAATGTCTTATAACCTGAAGTAACCATTTATATCCCTTTAGAATTCATCCCAAAATATAACAATTTTTCCACCTATTTTTTCTTAACTAATCATAATATTTTACCATTTAAATTCTTCACCTATTTTCTCTTTTCAAGCAAACACGTTCATCTCGTATTTAATTACACCTACTTTCTTAATACTCCTGTCTAATTCTAAAAAGATGAACCAGTCGTAATTATAGCTCATTTTCAAAATGTACGATGTCGTTAATTTTTTGCACAATATATGACCATTCGTTTTATTCAAAAATTTAATATAAATATGTAAAAAGTATAAGTTAAGATTATTTTTTTAATTGATATTAAAACAAGTCGGAACAAAATAAATGATATCCATATAATTTTTTTAGTACAAATGGTTAAAATTTATGAAAAAGTCAATGGCGTCATACATTTTAAAATGGATGAAGTACATGAAAAAAAAAGGTGTTGTGTTGTTTTACTCAACAAAGTAACTTTCTGTTCAGTTGAGGGTTAAGATAAAGAATATTTTCCCACTGCGAGGAAAAAGATAAAAGATATTTGCTCTCTTGCCACAATTCACATTTCACCTGGCTACTTATATAAGCAAGATATATTTTACTCGTGGAATGACAGTTGATTTAGGGTTCTTTCAGTTTGGAGGGAAATCGATTACTTAGAATTAATTACTATTAGTGTCATTCGGTTCATAATAATGTAGGTATAGGAAAGCTAAAGGAAAATTTCCTTTGGTACGAGTTGTAATGAGAAAACATAGAAAAAAATTTATCCACACAAACATCTTGGAAAATTTCTATGAATTGAAGTGTGTATGTATTTATATTCCTCCATTCTTCCTATTTATATGTGTTTAAATTCCTCCAAAACAAACAAGCCCTTATAAAGAAATCTCGAAATGCTTGTTCACTTTCTAGGAGTACAGTGCAAGTTAATTTCGTGCAAGCCCATCTCTGCACACATACGAGCTATGCGACCGTATAGATCCCTAAAATTAGGGGCCCAAAATATGTGTTTCAATTTAAATCAAAATATTCCGATATATTTAGGATTGTGTATTCCTTTTTTTTTCAAATTTATCTATTTCTCTCCACTAAATAGGATTAACCGAGTTGTTTTTCTCAACTCCGGTAAGTGTTCAATAATAATCATGGGCTACATCAAAGGAAAGAACTATATTTAGCGACGACGATATGAACGTGCGTTCTAATTCTAAACAATAACGATTCCATTTTTTCATGGAAAAAGTACGAATTACCCCCTGAACCATAAAACCGGACATTCTTCACCCCCAACTAGGCAAACCGGACGAATTACCCCCCTCGACTGAATCCGCAGGTGGTTTTGGTCTACGTGGCGTACACGTGGCAGTCCAGTCAGCAATTTTTTTCTAAAAAAATTGTGGGACCCTCCTGTCAGTGTCATACCTCTCCTTCCTCTCTCTATCTTCACTCTCTCTCTCTCTCTCACGGGCATCACAAGGGCGAGAGGTGGGCGGTGGCGTGAGGGCGGTGGATGGAGGCGCGCAGGGGCGGGCGGCGAGCGGCGGCGCGGGGACGTGCGGCGCTGGCGGAGGCTGACTAGCTACTGATTTCTAGGCGAGGTCGGCGCCGCCGAGGACGAGCGGCACGCCGGCGACCGCGGAGGCGAGGGCGGTGACCAGGGCGACTGCAGTGGGCGGGGCCATGCCGCCTCCCGCTCGCCCGCCACGCTAGCCTCGCCCACCCAGCTGCGCCCGCCCCCTCGTGCTGCCGTCCACGGCCATCCCCGCGCGCCCCACAGCGTGCGACGGGCGAGGCGGGGGCGCTGCGGGCGGGCGGATCTGAGGGACACCCGCCGCCGCGCTCGCCTCCTCCGCCGCCGCTCGCCACCCAGCCATCGCTCGCTCCCGCCCCCTGCGCCGCCCTTCCTCGCTGCTGCCTCGCTGCAGCCGCCGCCGCCGCCAGATGCAGACGGCGACGCGCTGGCGCATGAGGATGGAGGAACGGAGCATGGGTGTCCTCCTTGGCCACGACGGCGACACCGACGCGGAGGCCGTCTCGGCGGCACCTTCCTCGGTAGCCACGACCGCCGCCGTGGCGGCCGACATGGCGAAGCTCCCCTCCATCGTGGCGGCCGACGCGACGAAGCTCCCATCCCTCGCCGCCGCCTCACCTCATATCCCGCCACCGCTCCGTGTCGCCCCTTGCGCCGCCCTTCCTCACTGCCGCGCTCGCCTCGCCACAGCCGCTGCCGCCGCCAGATGCAGACGGCGACGCGCTGGTGCACGGGGATGGCGGCTGACACGGCGAAGCTCCCCTCCTTCCTCGCCGCCGCCTCGCCTCATCCCCTGCCACCGCCGCCGCCGCCGCTCCGTGTCGCCACCTGCGCCGCCCTTCCTCGCTGCTGCCTCGCCTCCTCCGCCGCCTGCCGCCGTGGTGCCGTGCGCGTTCAGAGAGTGAGAGGAGAGAGAGAGGAAGTGTGAGAGAGAGAGGAGAGAGAGAGAGGGGGGAATAGTGTTATAGGGGTATGACAGGTGGGTCCCACATTTTTTTAATAACTAAAATGCCGTCTGGACTGCCACGCGTATGCGACGTAGACCAAAACCACCGCGGATTGGATCGAGGGGGTAATTCGTCCGGTTTGCATAGTTCGGGGTAAAGAATATCCGGTTTTATGGTTCAGGGGTGTAATTCGGACGACCGTGATAGTTAGGGAGGGGTAATCCGTACTTTTTCCTTTTTTCATTTAGTTAGAAAAACTAAATTGCTACAATGATTTTTCAGTTGTTTGGTCGAATCACCATATATATGTAGGTGGGCGGCGGACCAAGCGGTTATGATTGCCGTGACCAGTGAGGCGTCCTCCCCGCAGCTCTCTGGTGGGTGCGGCCTCCGTTCGTCTGAGTGACGATGGCACAATGGTGGGGTGACAAGGGCTTAGTGTCTCGGCAGCTGTGGTTGCCCTCCTCGGTGGAGTAGAAGAGCCTTGCACGTCCCAGTGTGGATCTGCAACGGAAACCAAATGAGCCAGTGGTCACCGGAGAGGAGGAAGAAGCTCAATCTAGACTGGTGCATTTTTTTTCGATGTTTCAACCAATGTATCTTTGATGTTTCTTTGGGTTGGATCGAAATGTTGCATTGGATAGTTTGATATTGTTTCATCGATCTGTGCATATCCCTTGATATTTTAACGGTTGAAGCTTGATGTTTTGTTTGTTGGATCGAATTGTTTCAATCATGATTCACCTATGTTTCAGCATTTAATAGATTGAAACATTTTTTTTATTTAACGGTGAAACATTGTTCGACTAAGAGTGACAAGACACTTGATTTTTGATGAAAAATCAGATGCCCGATTTGTAGTCTCCTCCACAGGACTCTTCTCTAAAGTCAAGACTATATGTGAAAAGAGTACTTTGTGAACAAGCACACGCACGTCCGCCTCATCGTTTCGCTTATTCGAATAATAATTTATGAATAAGACTTTTATATACGTGTTCTTAGCAATCTAAAAGCAAAGACTGAAAAATAAACTTCGATATAAAAAAACCCAAAATCAACTCCAAATTTAAGATTGAAATTTTAATTTTTGGGTGATAAGCATAAGCATAAGCGAAAAGATAAGGCCGATCAATCACGCAAAATAACCCCCCATGTTAATTTTCGAGTTTTCTTCTCCAAAAAATCTTCTGCATTCCCTTTCTTAGTTACTGATTTTGTGCTTTAGTTTTAAACACATGATGATCTCATCAAGAGTATATTTCATGACATGCACCTATATGAGATATGTAGAACACATTTTTCTCTGACTTTTGCATGTTTTGAATCTACTTTCCACTTTTTGGCTAGTTTAAGCCAATAAGCCCAATAGAAAGTTTACACATTATTTTTCTTTTATGAAATTATTATTTTTATTTTGCTTGAAAATTTTCCACATAAAGTTTCTCTGTCGAAAGTTTACAGGTAGAAAGTTCACATATGTAAAATTTCTATATATAAAGTTTTTAGGAATAAATGTCTATATTTGGCCACCGAGACACGTATGTGGGCTAGGGGCCTCTAATCAGGAAAGGAAAAAAAGTTTAAATGGGTTAAGAACAAGTGGGGCCATTTGCATTGAACCCGTGGACTTTGAGATAGATGGGCTCGACAATCTGGATGAAACTTTTCCCAAAAATTAACAATTATTTGGTTATGTTGCTCAACTTGAGAACATCAGCAAGCAGCAAAGGTCGAATTCAACATGAATAAATTGGTTTTCAACTAAATTGTTTGTTTCAATTTGAATTTCAAATAAATGGTACATATGTCACTCTTAACGACCAAATTTGGTAATATCAGTATCGGAGATGAAGATTAGATTGAAGCGGGGTCGAAGATGAAGATTGTCGCGGAAACAGAGTAAAAATCGGCTGAAGTCCGGATCGGCTACGATTGGATCGGCTGAGTTGGAGTCAGATTTGGTTAGGTGATGCAGCCGATTCCAACAATACGACTTGGTGTACGACATCGGGTTGGGTTGAGGTGCTTCAAGATAATTGCCACGCATGGATAGAGTCCTGGGAAGGCAATTGTATCTATTAGTTAGGATATTTTATGTAATTTCCTTATAGATATGCTTGGGCAAAAGTCTGCCGTAAAGACTTGTGGTATCTTAGAGTTTGTTAGAGATAATAGTCGTGTCCGGTATGGACATATCTTGTAATTCTCGGGTATAAATAGACCCCGAGCCCTATGTAATTAAAAACACACACACGTTCAATACAATTTCGGCGCATCGCCACCTTTTTGCTTTAGTTTTATTTCGACGAGTTCTTACTTTCGGGTTGAGCTGTATCGTTTCGATCTTCAACAAGAGGTAAAACTTGTTATGATGGCTTGTGTTATCGGGATTAGTGCTTCCATCTTTATGATACTCTAATCTTGTTTACGTAATTCGTCGAGTTATCATATATCGTACATAATCTCTGGCAATATCACTATCTAACCTACAATCGGCTAACATCTGCTAGTAGAGGGCAGCCGATTAGGTTAGATTTTGATGTTGATTTAGATTATATAAGATATCCACCACTCTATGAAACTTCCAGCGGCTTGATTGTCTAGATATTGTTCTTCTTTTCATACTTAATGCTGCATCAGTTGAGTTTGATCTATTAAGTCGTGTTTAGAATATCAATCTCTAGCCTGCCTTCTGGTTGCCGATTAGGGTAGTATCGGAGTTTCAGCCGATCTTATCTGATTTAACCATATTCGCTCTATATGCTTCAGTGACATGTTAAATCCGCCCTTTATGTCAAGATCTTATTGCATTTAAGTATATTAAGCTTTTGTTTGATATATTATACTTGTTTTAATATCCTGATATAGAGTAGTATCGAAGTATTAGCCGATACATGCTAGATCTATATGATCGGCTATGCTATAAACATATATAGTCCTGTTATTAATATATATTTCGATCCAAGTGATTTATATTGTCTTGGCATGGCGACCGATCTATCCCAATCACTTGATTTAAATATATATCGATATAAGAACTATATATTGGTAATATCTACAGCCGATCGAGTAGGTTTAAGTCTTTATTATCTATTTATAGTCGCCGATCGATTCACATATGACATCGGCTCAAAGATAAATGATATGTCATCGACACTTAGCCGATCGGCTATCATTTATAGATTTAACCGCGATCTCTCTGTTTCTATTTCTTGTTGATTGCAGGATCAATTCAATTGGCACGCTAACACACCCGAAGGCGAGCTTTGAACCTGTACTCTCCCAGGCCTCGTGTTTGACGTCAACAGTCGCGGTAAACAAAATGATGGTAATCCTGTTGCTCATACTACTATCGTACTAACTGAATAGAGACATTCCATTTTTGCAATAGAGAAGCGACCATGGACATTGAAGCTATCGGGGAACGAGGAGGGAACAAGCCCGATCAACCGCCGAAGTCATAGATGGTGCGGCCCTGAAGCTTGAGCGCATATACGACATCCATGGCCATGACAGTCTTGCGGTGAGCATGCTCGGTGTAGGTAATGGCATCGCAGATGACATTCTTGAGGAAGATCTCGAGCACGCCACGAGTCTCTTTGTAGATCAACCCTGAGATGCGCTTCACGCCACCCTTCCTTGCAAGGCGTCGGATCACCGGCTTGGCGATGCCTTGGATGTAGCCGCGAAAGACAATCCGATGGCGCCTAGCACCACTTGTACCGCGCCCAGAAATGGCTACCGACTAGTGGAGCGCGAGAAGTGCTAGTGGAATTGGAAGAGAAGTGGCACTGGTGGTGGTGCCCAGAGTGAGATTTCAAAGAGAGACGACGAGGGGTTTTATAGAGGATAAAGGTAGGAGTCAGGCGATATTTGCCGTTAGATGTGAAGAAAATGGGCGGATGGGATCAGGATTACGGGAGAGGTGCCACAGATCGCTGATGTGGCATGAGATTTGGATTTTTTTACTTGGCGGGATAGATGTAAAATTTCATACACGAGGCGCCATTTTTATTTTCCGACAGTGGTGCATGGTTTTTTCCAATTTGGAGTTTGATTGGGGGTCGAGATAAAAGGAATAATTAAATTCTTGGTACAAAAGCCACATTTCACCTAGTTTTGAAAGTAAATTCTATTTTACATCTTCAACTATAGGCCAAGTTCATCATCTAAAGAAGCTATAGGCTGAGTTTTAAAGTTGCTCTTGAGTGCAAGCGAACCGACCCATGAACCCATATATTTGTAATCTATAAGTGGGTTGCTCATTTATTTGTACTGTAAGTGAGTTACCCACTTATAAGTAAGTGGTACATATTAGTGGGTAGCCCACTTATAGTGCTATATAAGTAGATTTGTGGATTGTCCCGTTTGCACCCTTACTTCCGGCTATGTCTTCTTCGTTTTTTCTGCATGAATCTCCCTTCCTCCGGTGATGCAGCTGAGGATTTGTATTTTGTTTTCTACTTGACCATTGTTTCCTCCACGAGTTTCTGTGGTAGTTTAAGGCAAGATTAATGCTAGCAATTTAGTGGTCAAGTTAGCATCTTATGAACCCATTACGCATGCAAATTCAAAACGGCTGGCAACAAATTATAAGCCCAAGATTTGCACGTGTATAGTAGATTTGCATGTGATAAATTGGGTGTATCCAATTGATGATCAGAGTGTACAAAGCCATACGTTTTAAACCATTTAGCATGTTCGTTATTATCACAACAAAAAACATTTACTTGTTGAAGCCCCACCCCCCAATTTACATTGTCCACGGCCTCTGAGAAACGTCAAAAAAAATAACTCAGGTATACAACTCCTTCCACATCAAACCATCTCTGGTTTAATCACCTGATCCTTCAAATTAAGCGTTTAACATTTGATCTTCTTCTCGCTTCCACAATAATATCATTTGACAAAGTTTCCCTTATTATTGCTCCTCTGCATCTTCTTCCTCCTCTTCCTCCCCTTCCTCTTCTTCGTTGTCGTTGTCGTCGTCGTCGTCGTCCGAGGAAGACGACGACGAGCTATCAGAGTGATCTGATTTTGGTGCAGGGGAGGCAGATGGAGCTGGGGCTGGGACGCTGGCAGCTGGTGGATCCGGTGGCAGTGAGGTCAGGAAGCCCAGCGTCATGACAACGTCGGCCATCAACGGCCGCACGGAGTCTTCCTCCTGCAAGCACATCGCGGCCATGGCGACCACCTGGTTCAATGCCTTTGCTGCGTACTCGCTCTTGATGAGTGGATCCACCAGCTCGTGATATCTCTTCTGGTCTTTAAACATCGGCATTGCCTGAAAAATATGCAATGCAGATCGCAATTCACAAAGATGCCATTAGCAAACTGAATCATAATGCTATTGCTATAATGCTATTGCATCTTTCATAATTTCTTTGGGAGAAATGTTGCATTATTTCTGTTCAAAATGCAAAGGTTTTTAAATTCAGATTTCGGCATGCAGAATGCAGAATCGATGGTATATCTGCATTGCACTATTGCATCGACCAAATTGGCTGAAAATAACTGAGCTAAACATCACAATTTCCATGGCGAACTTACCCAGGCGACCACGTTCTGCTCCTCCGTGGGCTTGTCGGGGTCGATGGCTCTCCTGCCGGAGATGAGCTGCACCAGCACGACGCCGAAGCTGTAGACGTCGGACTTCATGGTGGCCTGGCCGCTGCGGTCGTACTCCGGCGCGCAGCAGCCGAACGAGCCCATCATCGGAGCCGGCGCGTTGCCGCCCACCTGGCCGAGCTGCGCGAGCCCGAAGTCGGACAGCTTCGGCGTGAGGGCGTCGTCGAGCAGGACGTTGGACGCCTTGAAGTCGCCGTACACCACCGGCGGGCTCGCCTTCTCGTGCAGGTACTCCAGCCCCTGCGCTGCGCCGTACGCCACCTTCATCCTCGTGCACCAGTCCATCGGCTTCTTGTCCGCCGGCAAATCTGCCGACGACGACGATGCAACAATAACAGAACAATGGACAATCTCATTATCGTCGTCTTAGAGTATTCGTTCGCGTTGCGGCGTGTGGTGGGTGTGCGTACCGAACAAGTGTTCTTCCAAGTTGCCGGCGGACATGAACTCGTAGACGAGGAGCCGCTGGTCGCCGTCGGCGCAGTAGCCGATGATGTCGACGAGGTTGTCGTGGTGGAGCCGGCTGAGCTTCGAGACCTCGTCCAGGAACTCATTGTTGCCTTGGAAGCCATGCCTGTCCAGCTGCTTGATGACCACGGTCTGATCATGCACAAAAAAACAAAGAAAAAACATAATTAGTTCTTGTTTATGCGAAGTGATCACTGCGCTGCTCGATGAAATAGATGTGAGATTGTTGGTGAGCACGTACCTGCCCAGTCTTCTCCAGTTGACCCTTGTAGACCCGGAAGAAGCCGCCTTCTCCGATGAGGTTGTACGGCGTGAAGTGGTCGGTGGCCGCGGCGAGCTCGCGGAACGCGAACGCCTGCCCGGCGATGGCGAGCCCCGCCGAGGCGTCCTCGGATGGCTTGGGGGCCTGATCTGCATGGAGAGACCGCGCGCGCGCATTAGCCAATTGGAAGCCATGGTCAATGTGGGATCATCGAACTAGCCAAGAAATCGGATCGAGGAAGCTATCACTCACCGGGCCTGGGCGGCGTCATGGGCGCGGCCGCGGGCGCGGGCGGCGTCATCTGCGACGCGGGCGCCGCATCCGCGTCGTCGAACCGCGCCGTGTCGGCACTCAGGCTCTTCTTCTTTCCGCCGCCGAAGCACGGGAAGCAGCTCATCTTCGCGCCCCCTCCCTGCCTCCCCGTGGCGGCCACCACCACCACCCCTGTCCGCCGCCGCCGCCGCCGCCGCCAGCCAAAGAAGAAAAAGAAAGACGCACGGACCGACCACCGAGGAGCAGCCGCGCCGCGCCGATCACACAACCATCGCGCGCGAGCCCGCCCGTCTCACCACCTCCGCCGCGGCGCGCCCACCTCGTGGCACGCCATCCGCGCACACACGCACGCTGTCGTCCTGGCCCCCCACGCGCGCACCCGATCCGCCCGCGCGTCCGCCCGCGGGAAGAGAGAAGGGGGCGATCGATCGATCGATCGCGCCGGGGCGCGCGCGCGCGTGGAGGGGGGGAAGGAGAGGGCGATGGGGGGTTGGGGGAGATGGAAGGTGGGGGAGGAGGGTGGGAGATTGGGGGAGAAGGCCTTGGAGAGGGATCCAAGGGCCTTCTCTGGAAGGAGGGGAGGGAGGAAGGAGAGGGGGAGGGGAGGAGGGAAGCGGGAGGGGGGAGGTGCTAAGTTTGGCGCGCAGCGGTGAAGGTGGAGGGGAGCGCTCCAAAAACGGGCGGGGGGCGGGGGGACGTGCGGACCACGTATTTGAAGGGAGTGGTCGACGACGACCGTCGTGGAGGGGTCGCTCCCCCGTTTCGGCCGTTGCAGAGCAGAGCTTTGTTTCCAGCGCATTTACTCCCTCCGTTCTAGCAGCCCCAATTTTTTTTGTTTATTCATATATTATTTGAAATTGCTCATTACTAACAAATAAAAAAGAGTATAATATATACCGGTTCTTAAATTTGAGAGGAGATATCGATTAGATCCATAAACTTGTAAAGTGTACATTCAAGTTTATTTAAGCGTAAATTATACTGGCAATGCTTAAACTTGTAAGCAGAAAAGCAGGTTTTACATAGGTCCACGAACCGTATATTGAGGTCTCTAAACTTGGTTTATTCTATTATCACGGTCCAAAATCTTATTTGATCGTGGTCTTGTCTACGTGGCATGTCATGTAGACGACGACATGACATGTTATTATTTTTTTCCCTCCCTTCTTCCTTTTTCATTTCTCTCTTCTTCGACCTTTTCCTTCAACAACAGCGATGCTTGGCGACGACGGCGGCCGGCGCGGGAAAGCTTGAGGTGGCTCCAGTGGAGGAAGAAGATAAAAGAAGATGAGGAAAAAGAAGATAAGGACCGCCAGTGTATTCTACTCTTTAATTAACCACAGTAAGTCCAAACTTCATTTGACTGAAGATGACCGCCAACGAGACGCTCCACGTATGCCGCAATTTTGCATCCAATAGCGATAATTTTACATCCGTCCCCTTCCTCATCCAATACTACCCTAAATCACCCCCTCTTCCCCAAATACATCAAATCTAGATGTATGCTAGAGCGCAAGAAAGAATAGTGGTACTTAGATACACAAGCGTCGATTCATCTTCTCCCCCAAAGTTGAGGTCCATCGCGGCTGTCGTGTCAACAGTGGAGCCGCACCACACACCTCCTATCGAATGCCACCACTCGCGCGGCCCAAAATGGCGCCTGAATAACCCCGCAACACCGATGATCGTCGGTGTTACCTACTCCCTTACCATTCTCTCTCGAAACTATTGTATTGGGAAAGAATCAGAGTGATTTGGGTGTTTTTTAAGGGGATTCGGGCGGGGTAGTACTGAATTTACCATCAACTATGACGCAGAGAGGGCGGGATGCAAAATTGTTGCCTACGTGGAGCTTTTATATACGTTTACTTAACAATAAAAAATTATTAGAGTAAAACTTTTATATACCTGTACTTAACAAGTTAAAAGGTTGTTAAAAGCAAATACAGTAAAGAAAACTAGGATGAGAAAAATCAAATTTAAAATTAAGTTCTAAAATTTAAATTTTTTTATAAGAATAACTGAAATAATGGGGTGTGGAGTTAAAAAATTTAATCTAAGGACATCTTTTAACAGTTCTTACTTACACACCACCATTCCTATTTTGATCAATTTTTCTTCATGTGCTTTTAATGGATTCTAGGAACACACCGGTGTGTTCGGAACGCCTGGTTCCCAACACTAAGAGCCCGCACAAAAACCGAAGCAGCGATTAGCGGGTGATTAATTAAGTATTTACTATTTTTTTTCAAAAATAGATTAATTTAATTTTTTAAGCAACTTTCGTATAGAAACTTTTTAAAAAAAACACATCATTTAGCAGTATGAAAAACGTACGCGTGAAAAACAAGGGAGATGGTTTAGGAAGAGGTGCTGCCGAACACAGCCTTAGAGTAGGTACAATAAGTCACTTTAGTTGGCGATAGTGCATGCATGCTAATGTGCTTAGTTGGCAAAGAAATTGGGAGAGAAAAGGTGTGAGTGGGTGACTAAATAATCGCCGGCTGCACACATGCTCCAACACATTTTTCATGGGGCTCTCGATGGTCAGCTCCCTTCCATGGTTTTCCAAATTGCCGGTGCGGTAACCATGAAAAACCGTGTAAAATTTATTAAAAATTTAAATTATTTTTTAAATTCATTTAAATTTAAGGAGGTTACCGCGATTTTTCTATTACCGTACCCCGTGGTAAGAACAGTAAGTCGAATGAACCTTGTCCCTTCCCGAGAAGAACTAGTGGACGGAATAATTTGAAGTGAAGAAGAAAGAGAATGACTGGATTAAAAAATAAAGAATGCATGCATAAAAATTTATGTGTAGGTGATCTAGTAGTTAACTATTGTATTTATACTACTCTTATTAATTATTTTTGTTGGTGATGTGAATATTGTAGGTGATCTAATAGTTAACTATTGTATGTATACTACTCTTATTAATTATTTTTGTTGGTGATGTGAATATTTTTATAGCTAACAACATGCTGTATTATTAGACTTGCTCTTAGGCCATTTCTAACCCAAAATACTAGACATAGTTTCCATAAACTCCACTAGACACTACTTTTCCAATGCAAACACCACTGTCACTATTCCATACTTAAATTTAATGCTACTTATCTCACATGATGTCTTGGATGTTATGTAGAAAACATGTCTCATGCAAGACATAGTTTTCTTCTTTTTCCTCATTTATTCACTTGCCATATCATTTTCTATCTTAGATGGCAACTTATTTAATACTATGGATATCATTCTAGTCATTGGGTTAAGAATGCTCTTACTGACAGAGTACTTTGTTATTCCACTGTTCCAGTGACAGCCAATCAGGCAATCACCAATATTAATTCATTGATATCGTTCGTCCATTCAATCATTCATCAAATGCAGACTGCTTGATTCGTTGCAATCGTCCATTCAATCATTCCAATGCATACTGCTTAGTGCGTGCATAGCACGGCTGCATCCATCCAGTTTCCAGACTTTTTTTTTCTCAAAACTTAATTATTTTCTTAAGATCCAGTTCTCGTTTTATATCAAGCTATCTTTGCACGTCGACCTCACGATCTTTACGGGCACAAATGCATCAGATATTCAGATCTTTAACAATCGGTAAACTTGTGAAGATAACCGAAAAAACATAAACGGAAGCAGAAACCGGCACAAATCGTAGTCGTGTAAGCCACGGGGAGAGGAGGAGAACCCGAGGCCGCCGCGAAAGACGGCAGCCGGGATCACCCACAACTCGAGCCCCCCATGGCAAAATCACTCTACGCCCCCAGAACAAGGCCGTCAAGAGTGGATTCGTTCTCTTGCAGCCGAAAGAAGAGGCGACCAAACAAGCACACACAACAAAAAGAAAAGGAGAGATTGTTCCATAAGTAAGAACAAAAAATATTCTGAGAAGAAGATGCAGATTTCCCTTCTGATGATGATGAGCGAGATGGATGCAAAGCAGTAAGCAAGCGAGTGACGAAAGTGAGTGTGTGGATATGGCGAGATGCAGCACGAGCTGTTCCGCGGATGGGAACGGCAGGATGAGGCGGCGGCAGCGGCGGCGTTGCGGGCTAGGGATTTCGTGGGGAGGTCTGCGGCGTTTATAACGGCGAGATGGGGAGGGTTTTAGCAAGGACGTATGGGCCGGGCCCAGGGCGTTCTGTTCGGCCTCACTGTCGTACTGGGCTTTCCACAAAGGAATAAGTTCATTTAAGGTCCCTTAACTTGTCAACGAATTTGATTTTCGTCCTTCAACCGAAAAACCAGATACAACGGGTCCCTCAACTATCAAAACCAGTGTAGATGAGGTCCCTCGGCGGTTTGGATGGCGGTTTTGGCTGACGTGGCGCTTATGTGGCTAATTTGACTCGGTCTTAATCTGACGTAGTATTGACGTGGCGTTTACATGGCAATTTGATCCGAAAAATAATAAATCGACCCACATGTCAGTTTCACCAAAAGAATGAATTAAAAAATGGTGGGGCCCACATGGCCCCACATATCATTGTCACCCCTCCTCTTCTTCCTCCTCTCTCACCGTCTCTCCACTCTCCTCCCTCCAGGCGCCACGGGGCCACGGGGAGGTCCGGCGGCGGCGGCCAGCGACGCGGGAGAAGGGCAGTGGGCAGGGCATCGGCGGCGGGAGCGCTGGGTCTTCGCTCACGACGTCGGCGCGGACCCTGCGCGGGGGCTCGTGGAGGAGATCGGGGCCGCGGCGCCGCCCGTCTCCGACGAGCTAGAGCTCGTGCGAGCGCGGTGCCGGGAGCTGCACGACTGCCGACGAGAAGCAGAGGAGGTTTGAGGTGTACAGGAGCAACGTTGAGCTTGTTAAGAAGTTCAACTCCATGTGCAATGGCTATAAGCTGGCTGACAAGAAGTACGTTCGCCGACCTGACGAACAAGGAGTTCAGAGCCAAGATGCTGGGGTTCAGACCTCATGCCGCAATTCCTCAGAGCAATGCCTGGAGAGAGCAGTGATGATATTCTGCCGAAGAGCATAGATCGGAGGAAGAAAGGAGCAGTGGTGGAAGTGAAGTACCAAGAAGATTGTGGTGTGTGAGCAATAGCATAGTAAATAAAGATTCAAACCTGTAAAAATGTTGGAGATTAATCGATGGAAATCTGGGTGTTGTGTGGATGCAGGTTCTTGCTGGGCGTTCTCTGCCGTGGCGGCGATAGAGGGGATCAACAAGAACGGCGAGCTGGTGTCGCTGTCGGAGCAGGAGCTCGTAGACTGCGACGACGAGGCCGTGGGGTGCGGCGGCGGGTACATGAGCTGTTCGAGTTCATCGTCGGCAACCACGGCCTCACCAGTCACCACGGAGGCGAGCTAGCCGTACCACACCGTGAACGGCGCGTGCCAGGCGGCGAAGCTGAACCAGAGCGCGGTCAGCATCGCGGGCTACCGGAACGTGACACCAGCAGCGAGCCCGACCTGGCGAGGGCTGTGGCGGCGCAGCCGGTGTTCGTCATCGTCGACGCCGGCAACTTCATGTTCCAGCTCTACGGCAGCGGTGTCTACACGGGGCCGTGCACCGCCGTCCGCCGACGTCAACCACGGCGTCACCGTGGTGGGCTACGGCGAGTCCCCCAACACTCCCGCCACTGACGCCCCGCCCTTCCCCCGCGTCGTCGGCCGCCGCCGCCGGACCTCCCCGTGACCCCGTGGCGCTGGAGAGAGGAGAGGGGAGAGATGGGGAGAGAGGAGGGGTGAGAATGCTACCCACCATTTTTTAATTCATTCTTTTGGTGAAACTGACATGTGGGTCCCATGAGATTTATTATTTTTCGGATCGAATTGCCACGTAAGCGCCACGTTAATGCTACGTCAGATGAAGACCGAGTCAAATTAGCCACGTAAGCGCCACGTCAGCCAAAACCGCCATCCAAACCGCCGAGGGACCTCATCTGCACTGGTTTTGATAGTTGGGGGACCCATTGTATCTAGTTTTCGGTTGAAGGATGAAAATCGGATTCGTTGACAAGTTAAGGGACCTCAGATGAACTTATTCCTTCCACAAACTTCATTGGCAATTTTTGGTCCTGCCTGCAAATCTCCAATCTGCGGCCCCATTTGGTACAGCTTCAACTCCCAACTCCAATTTATCTAGAGCCCAAACTGTGTCAAACAGTCCAGATCCTTCATTTTTTGGAGCGGAGTTGGTGGAGCTTCTCCACAAAATTGTGCTAAGGGGTGGAGCTGGGTTTTTGCTGCTCCACCGCTCCACTCCACCCCAAAAGACCCACTACCTTTTAATTTTTAGTGTATTTACACCAAAATGCCACTGAACTACCCCTTCCAACCCTATCTCCTCCAGTTCTCTCTCCTCCTCTGTCTTCCTCGGTAGACACAAGCGGTCGGCAGCGGCGGGCGGATGGCGCGGCGGCGAGGGCCACGGACAGCGGCGGCAGCAGGCACGCGAGCGGTGGCGCGGGGTCGACGACGCACGTGCGGTGGCGGCAGCGGCGCCGACAAGCAAACCGCCGGCGGCAGGGCGGGCGGCGACAGCGACGCCTGCCAGCTGTTCGACAAAATGCCAACAAAGGACTTGGTGGAGTGGAGCTAACCAATCTAGCCAAACACTTTCTATTCTACTTCAGCTCCTATAGGAGCCAGCTCTAACTGGAGTTGGAGTTTAGAGTTAAGAGTTGGAGTTTGGAGCCCTACCAAACGGGACCTGCGACTCACGCGCTTCTATCAATGCTTCCCTCCCCTCCCCCATTTTTTTATGAAACCTAAGCCAACCGAGCTGGTTTTATATTCAGAAAAGTAAGCACTGTATAGGGGTCACCAACGGTGACAGGAGAAGAACAAGGGGAGGTCAGCACAAAGGGAAAAAAATACAGCTTAAGGGAGTAAACTAAGGTGCTATTCTCGTGAGGATTTTTGCACCACATACTGACCATACATGATTTTTTTCCAGGATTTTTGCCACTAGCTGAGGGATTTGGAGCTCTGTGTCTTTGAAGACTCACCTATTTCTCTCGCACCAGATTTCCCAGCAGAAGAGCATGTGTAGCGATTGCATCCCTTTCGTGTGAAACTTGCTTTGCTGCTGTGTTGTTCTTGATTCTCACCAATCGATTAGCCTTTCTTCCGGGTTATGAACCGGGAAAGATTGATCGTGGACCATTCTTGCCGTCGCTTTGTCCCAAATCTCCCGCGTGAATGGACAGTCTTTAAATAAGTGTTGCGCCGTCTTCAAATTCCTGTAACAGAATTGACAGAAATTGTTGTTTGGCCACTGCTGAAGTTGCAAGCGATCGGCTGTCCATATTTTGTTTTGTAGGAGTAGCCATGCAAAGTTTTTGCATTTGGATGGCACCCATGTCTTCCATATGAAGGTGGCAGCCCTTAAGTCTTCTCTGCCGGCAAATTGAGCCAAATAAGCTGATTTTGCTGTGTGTTTGCCGGTATTTGTTCATCTCTAGGTGATGGTGTCCTTGATTTCTTCCACTAGGTTTATCTCCCAGGTGAGATTGAACACCATGAAGTACGTGTTCCAACTTCCAACTTCCGACCTCCTAGTAGTTGAGCACCAACTTTCGTTCGAAGGGTAGCTTCGTGGCATGCTTCATCCACAACAACCAGAACCTATGGTTTGATTTTGTATACTACTTCCTCCGTTTCACAATGTAAGTCATTCTAGCATTTCCCACATTCATATTGATGTTAATGAATCTAGATAGATATATACGTATAGATTCATTAACATCAATATGAATGTGGAAAATGTTAAAATGACTTACATTGTGAAACGGAGGGAGTAAGTTTTATGGTTAATGTTAGATACTACCGCGAGAAGATGCAACAAAACAAAGCAAGAATAAGAGAAAAATATCATAGGGGTGGATCCACTCGCAAAAGACCTCATGAGCTGAGCACCAGCTTCAGTCGAAAGGGTAGCCTTGCGACAGTCTTCGTCCACAACGGCCTGGACCGGAGCAAGAGCACCACCCAAGACGTGGGGTGTTCTTCTCTTTTCACAAGCACGGAGTGACAAGAATCACCTAGAAATCAAACCCATGCCTTGAGGTCTTGGGCACAACTTGGTAGGCAACGGGCCATTAATCTACCAGTACGTCGGCGGGGAAATGTGAGGTCGATAGTATCTAGCATTGTCACCATACACGCTATTATAATATCGATATACGTAGAAATTAATGTATTCCAAGTGAATTTAGTAAACTTTTAGTTATGTGTCACCAAGATTTTATTCAACATCAACCATAAAATCAGGTTTCATTGAAAATTCCTTAACAAAGGAGAGGATGGATGGCTAATTTTCTTAAAACACAAAAGCTTTACGCGTCAATATATTATAGAAGCTATGAAAATTCATTTACAAGATCGCACCATGCTAGCAGCAGGAACTAGGGAGTGGGAAGGTTACAACGACAGAAAACTAAGTGAGACATACGCCAGGAAGATACAAAAGATAGGGAGGGGAGAAGGCAACTACGGGGTGGTAGATACTCGCAACAGAGCTCCAGCGCCGGGCTCTGATCAGACTCACCAGAGGTGCGTCTCCTACAAGATTCCATCGACCAACTGGGGATAGGCCGATAGGGTAAGCGTTTCTCTCTTTCCACAGGCACCAGGACACAAACAACACAAAATGAGTCGAGGTCAGGCGATGTGTAATTGGGCGGAGTTTAGTTCCAAACTTTTTTTTTAAACTTCCAACTTTTCCATCACATCAAAACTTTCTTACACACATAAACTTTCAACTTTTCTGTCACATCGTTTCAATTTCAACCAAACTTCCAATTTTGGCGTGAACTAAACACATCCTGGTCACGCATCGTCAAACGCTAGATCACCATATTCTTTTCAAAAGAATCAGCAAGAATATATAGAACACAAATGTGGAAATTGATACATTCATATATACCACCACACACAGATTGATGACATATAGTTACATGCTCGATCTGTACATAAATGAAACTCAAAGCCCCAAACAGTCACACGCTAAGCATACACGTAGTAACACGACACAATCTTCTCCTCAGTACGAAAACAACAGAAATCACACAAGAATCCAAGAGAAAACATGTACACTTGAGTACTGAGGAGAAGATTTGTGTTCGGCGCCACAACCCTTCAGGCTACCAACCAGCCGCTTCTCAACATCGCAGCAACCGGATTCACGTTCGGCTGCTGGCTAATCAAAACCTTGGGCTCGGAGGCCGCGAGCGTCGCGGCGTCGACCTCTCGGCCTTCGCCTTGCTCGGCGACGGGACGCTGCTCAGCCTGTCCGCGGAGCCCAGGGAAAGGCGCCTGTTGATCACCGACGGTGAGGTCACCTGATGGTGATCGGGCGCCGTCCTCTCGGCGGTGACGGGGACCTCGATCGCCGCCGGCCGAGCCGCCTTGGCCTTCACGGACTTGGTCGTCTGCATGTAGCTCGGCGTCAGCGGCGCCGCGTCGTCTCTCGCCGGGCCGCCGCCTCCTCCTCCGAGGCTCAGCCTCCTCGGCAGCTCCCCGGACCGCAGGCTCGTCGTGCGCCGCAGCGAGAGGAGGACGACGCCGCCCTTCTCGCCGTGGACCGGGCTGACGCTCCCCGCCGCGCGCCGCTCGCAGCTCCGCGGCCGCTCCGGCTGCAGGCTCGTCGTGCGGCGCAGGCCGGTCGTCGCCGTCGCCGACCTCCGGAACGGGCTGGCGCCCGGGCTCGACGGCGGCACCGCCGACGTCCTCCACGGCGACCGCGGCGTGGGTGTCGACGGCGACGGGCAGCTCGGCGGGCGGGTGAACCTGGCCAACGCCGGCGTCGACGTGGGTATCTGCACCGACATGGGCACCCGCCTCCCGCTGCCGCCGCCTTTCACCGCCGCGGCTGCACGGCCGCTGTTCGCCGGCGTGGTCTGGCTCTCCCACGGCCTCGCCGCCGCCATCCATCGCTCCGCCCAGCTCCATCCCCAGTTGGGGTTGCCGGTGTCCATGAACATTGGAGGCGGCGAGGCTCGCGCAGATGAAGGTTTCCTGTTACTCCACTGCTCGCAGAAACCATACAAAGTTCAGAAAAAAGAAAAAACGAGCAAGAAACAGGCGATCGGATGTACTCCGTAGCACGGATATAACCATGTCACCTGATGAGAAAATGCGTATGCCAACGCCCTTTGCCGCCTTAAAGCGGCTTCTTGCTTCATCGTCAGCACGGTCTCAATCTGCTCCTTGGACTGATGTCCATGGTCCCAGCTTTCACCAATCTGCCAAGACATTAGCATTGCCAGTTTTCTTTACTGATTTGTTACAACGGCAAAAGTATGAGTTTTAAGGATACGGATTTTTCATCCCTCGAAGAGATATCCCCTCGTTATTTACATATCATCTAAATAGTTAGTATTAAAATATTTTTTAAAAATAATAATATAGATTAATATGAAATGTCACTTTACAAACATGCACAACCAAATTCGATTTTTACAAGTTACAATAAAAAGAACAAATTAAACTGAAAATAATTATCTTACATTCGTATCTATATTTGTAGAAGTTAAGTTTTAACTCATGTTTGTGGAGTAATATATTTCATATTAATTTATCTTGTCATTTTTAAAGTCTTTTTGATAACTATTTAAGTGACATGTACGAATTGAGCGGATATCTTGTGACGAAATGACTTTCCTCGTTATAAGGTCTGAAGATGCAAATGACAACAGCATGAAACGATGCGATGAGTGACAGGAGCAAGTGATCATCAATGCATTATTGCACCTTTATTCTGTCAAGGCTCTGTTTAACGTGGACCTGGCTTTTCAGGGCCTTCTTGTCCTCCTCCGTCTTCACCCGCCTGGAGTGTATCTGGGTCTGGACCCTCGTCATCGTTTGCATGCAGTACAAGGCTTCGTAGGTCTGGCGCTTCACGGCGAGCCCCTCCAGCAGCAGCATCAACCGATCCAATCCCCTCGCCCGTTGCGATCTCCTTCCCTGCCATCGAGTGTTAAAATGTTCCCAAATCAAACCATCACGAGCCATGAAACCATTTGAGATCGGCAAAAAAAAATGATGAAACGAACAGCAGAAGAGAGGGTCAATTACCAGGTAGACCCTGCATGCTTTCTGAATCTTGACGGCGGCGAGCTCCTCGGCGGAACGCGCCGGAGCTCTTGGCGCGGTGGTCGTGGGGCGGGTCACCGCCGTGGCCGTGGCCGTCTTCTGTGCGGCGGCGGCGGCGGCGTCCGAGGATTTCGCCTCCTTGATCCCGTCATCCCGCTGCCGATCAGGCGGCGCAGCTTGTGGAGGAGGAGGATGATGATGGTGAGGTTGCTGCCGAGCCGACGGAGAGGTCACCGGCGGCGACGACGTGGACGCGCTCGACTTGCTGAATTGCAGTATCTTCTTCAGGGTCGACCTCTTGCCCTTCTCACGTTCGAAAACATCCGCCGATGATCAGTCAAGTTCATGCAGAATTGCGCATCGGCGATCGAAGAAGATTTGATGGTGAGAAGTAGTGCGATTTAACTTTTTTTTTTCTCTGTGACATTTCGTTACCTTCTTTTCGTTCTCGTGGCTGTCATTCTCCGACGTGCTCAGGGCTCTCTGCACGGCGTCGAACCACTTCCCCTTTTTCCCCATCTCTCCTCTTCTCGGGGCTAAATTAACGCTGGCAACACGAGTTCAGGGGTTGTAAAAGAAGGTGAATTTTTCTCACCGTTGGCGCCGCCGGGATGGACACGCAGTTATTCCGGCGATCAACCTCGACGACGGCGACTTATCCGCCAAGCCGTGGGCCCCACATGACAGCCACCTCCGAATGGCGCCTGTCCCTACATTCCAGTATGTCCACACCACCCCCTCGCCGCGATAAACGCGCGCGCACGTTTTTTTTTTAACTCCGGCTCGAGAAGTCTAGTACTAGATCCTCTCCGACATCCGTGGCCCCACATGTCAGTTCCCCGTGCCACCGTATGGGCCCGTGGCCCATGGGCCCAACCGGCCCGGCCTCTCGGTCCATTTGCTCTCGTCTGCCTCTCCGACCACGACCAGAGCTCGCCTCGCCCTCGCCGATTACCAGTTCACCACGCCCGCGCGCACACGGAGACCGAGGCCGCGAAAACCCTAGCGCCTTCGTCTACCTCCAGCTCGTCGCGCGCGGCGGATGGTGATGAGCTCGCGCTCCCTCAGGGCTCGCGACTAGGGTTCTCTTCTCACTCCATCGCTAGCGGCGGCTCAGATTGGGAGGTATTCCGGTGTTTTTTTGGTGCTAAATTTTGCCCCCCGTATTGGTGTTTTGCAGGTGACGCGACGCTGCGATTGAGGTCGGCGCCGGTGGCCGTGGATCGCGGCGCGATGGAGCTGGAGGGGGATCCGAGGCTGGTCGGCGTTGCGTTGGGGGAGTACTTGACGGATGGGGAGGAGGTGATGGTGGTGGGAGGGGCGGGGGAGGTGGCCGTGGCGGCCCGTGTGGTGAAGGTGGATGGGGGGAAGGTTGTGGTGGCCATGGATGAGGATGCCGCTGCAGGAGGTGGCGTCGGAGTCGGAGTGGTGAGCGATTTGCTGTACGCGACGGGATCGGCGGCAGTGGGTGAAGGATACGGGGGTGAGTGTACTGACAACATGCAGGAGCTGCTGGATGGAGGTGGTGCAGAGGAGAGGATGTTGGGAGTGGAACTCGGTGGCTTTCGTGGTGAGGCAGGGTGGACGCTTATGCCGGTAGGAGATGCTGCTATAGAGACTTCAGAGGAAATGTCTGATCCTGTCACACTGCAATACTCTGAAACAGGTAAAGCTTTGCTCCAATTTGGTCACTGCTCTGATCAATTGGGATGCTCTGCCGGTTGATTCTGACATGTTGTTATCATCACCTCGCATGGCGTCACTGAATAGTATAATTGCAGGGCTCACAGGGGATGATCAGCGTGCCAAATACCGCCTCCCTCCTCTTGACGGATATGGTTTTCGAGCATCTGGTCTTGTGTGGAGTAAATTGAAAGGTCATCCTTGGTGGCCTGGTGAGATATTTGATACTTCAGATGCATCTGAGTTGGCACTGAAACACCAGAAGAAGAAGGGCAGTCATTTGGTAGCATATTTCGGTAGCAATACTTTTGCATGGTGTGATGAATCCCAGTTGAAGCCTTTCATGTCAAACTATTCTCAAATGGCGAATCAGAGCAATTCTGATGCCTTCATTAGTTCAGTTAACCTTGCTCTTGAAGAAATCTCAAGGCGGATATTGTCAGGGATGTGTTGCTTTTGTCTTCCAGAAGATCTCTCTGACAATTGCATGTCTTACATGGTTGAGAATTCTGGGCTCAGGGATGGAGTTACTTGCTCTAAAGTTACACGGTCAGAGATCTTGGAATGTTTCAATGCAGAAAATTTTCTAAGTTATCTCAGGTCATTGGCTCTGTTCCCTGGTCAAGGAGGTGAGCTGCTGGATTTAGTGATAGCATGCTCTCAACTTACATCTTTCTTTCAATCTAAGGGATGCCATGAACTTGCATCATTTGGAAGTGGCAGTGAGTTGGTTGATGATGGCATGGACTCTTCTTCCACCAAGAATGTCTTGTTGCCAGAAGCTGTCACCTATGAACAGAAACCTAGTGAAGGTAAGCCCAAAAGACGTAGGATAAAAACTTGTGTTAAAAAACCTCAGAATGATTTAGAGTTGACAGAGGAAAATCCCATATCCAGTTTGAACAATGAGTGCACTTTTGTTGATTGCATGGGCTTGAACATCATTGGGAAAGTTAAAGGGAAGAGAAGTGAAAAGAGGAGAAAATATGTGCCTTCTCCTGAGGTACATACAACTGATCATGGGCAGGACGACTCCTGGTCTGGATTCTGTTTAAACAATGATCCAACTGATACCCTCGGGGAAGCAAGTGCCAAAATGAGGCCAAGACGTAAGCAGAGATCATCGAAAGAAACATGTGCACCTTCATCAGATCTCTCTTCCCATGTACCACCTCTGCAACTTGGATTGCTTGGTCCTAAGAAACAGATACAACTGATAGAAAGATAAATTATCCATGCCGATGAACAGAGAATTGATGAGATCATGCCCTCCGCACTTGTTTTGAGTTTTGGCAGATCAGCTGCTCTTCCCTCAAAATTGGATCTTATTAGGTTGTTCAGTCGCTATGGACCTCTGAAAGAAAATGAGACTGAAGTTCACCAGAACACGAATACTGTTAAAGTTGCCTTCAAGAGACGTTTTGATGCTGCAAACGCTTTCAGTGTTGTTGGCAAGTATAGCTATTTTGGACCTTCGCTTTGTAGTTTTCGGCTTGTAAATTTGCCATTTTCCCTATCCAAGTTAAGCCCTGAAGATCCTGGCACGGAGGTTCCTGGTAAGCATCTGTTAGTTGCATTCACAATTCAATGAGCAAAAATATAAGTCTTACGGTACCTTATGATATGTGTTTCTTGTAGCTTGTAGGGAGTCTGGAGTGGATATTGTGCATGTTGGCATCATCAGCAAAGTTGATAAAGCTCAAAATCTGTAGAGAAAGCATCAGCGTTTGATATGGTCGATCCAGCAGGGCGAGCTAACAAAATTGTAGGTGAGGGCACGGCTGAAGAATCAGATGAGAAAATCAGTTAGCTTTTCTTCCATTAAAACTTGTTTATATTCAGGTTTGTCTGCTAGATGAAAGTGTTGTCTCATCCGGGTGATGCATTTTGTATAGAAAACGGGAATCCGACACTAGTATTAAAATGTTAGTCTTCAGTAACTAGAGCATGTATATAGTCATGCTTTTTCTGTACAAACTTAAGGTAAACCACTGTCCGTTTATGGCAATTAGATATCCTTCTGACCATATTAAGATTAAATCAAGTAGGGGAACCCTTGGTTGTTTACACTATTCATGATCAGCTTTGGGAGCTTTTGGGCAAGCTACTGAGATGTAACTTGTGTTACTTGTCGTCTATGATAAGAGAATGCACTGTCTAATTCCTCGTTGATGCCGGAAGCTAATTGTGTTTGCACCACTGTGGGTCTGTGGCATGAGGTATATGAACTTAGGACGGTTCCATTTTGAACCCTCTCATCCCTTCAGCCCTGGAATCTGTGTGCTACTAACTGATTTGCAGCCTTGCAGATGAGTGAAGTGTTGGTTGAGCTCATTTATCGTAAATTTCTATTCTATTGGAGAGAGATCACAAATTTCTCTTATCCATTTTTTTTCCTAATGTCATTTGTGATATTGATTCTCGATGTTAGCTCATTTTATCCTCTTTTTTTTGGTCATTCATCAATGTCTTTTATACAACTATAAACGCAAATGTTCTGTGAAGAATCAAGAATTCATGGCGCGTGATCTTGATCGAGATGGAGAAAATGAGAGATTGATCGACGATGTAAAGGAAGACAACTGCTAGAAATCAAGCAAAACATAAGCGATCTTGGGCTTCGTTGGCTATCTACGCTACGCAATTCCGTATGATCATAAGACCATTTCTGACTCGTATGCACATTGCCTTTGACGCTGAAGTAGCGTGCTAACAGCCACGACGCGGGTGAAAGAGAGAAACAAACTTTCCCTTTTTCTGAGGATAGAGAAACGAATTCTGTGGAACTATTTTTCACCACTTTAACCAGAATTTTTTTATAACTTTCAATATAATTTTTTGAACTTTTTAATCGAAATTGAAATTTCACAAAACTTTAGGTACTTCGACAAATTATTGTAAAACTATAGGTTTAGCGCAAAATTTCTCACGAAACTACATATTTTAAGATGGTGTCATAAAAATAAAGATTAAGTAGTTAATTTATCATAAAACTACAATGTTTATAGCTCTAACATAACGGCGGTGTAAGGAATTTAAACCATAGAATGTGTAATTTTGTGATAACTTCAATATGAGATTTGTAGTTTTTGTGATATTTAACCTTAAATATGTAGTTTTGTGATAAATTTGTCATAAAATCTATAGTTTGGTGATAGATTGATCAAAAGAACAGTGGTTTTACGAAATTTACTCATCAAAAAATAACTCCCACTACAAAGTTTTTGATTACTTTCAATACAATTTTTTATAACTTTCTCCAGATTTTTTTTACAACTTTGATAATACAAACTTTTTTTTTACTTTCAATACATTTTCTAATAACCTTTCTCTGTGAAGAATCACATTGAAAAATAAAAAAATCTATAAAAAATAATGTTTGCATAAAAGGACCTCGTGCAGGCTTAGGGTTTAAGAATGTTTTTTTTTTTGGTTGGCTCCAATGTTAAGATCATGAGGAGAGAGATGAGTAAAACTTATAAATAGATTAAAAAAACAAAAAAAATCAAACAAACATGTAAAGCTGAGATGCACAAACCATAGTTTTTATGCCTCTTTTATACTTTCATACAGGGTTTTCTTAGCAAAGTGTTAAACTGAATGAATCTTGTTACCGTTATCTTATTAATCTCAAGTGCTACAATAGGCATACCGAGTTAACAAAAGCTCTCTTTCCAATATAGTCAAACAAACAAAGTTGTAATTATATATACTAAACAACTTAAAATTTTACAAACTATTTATTTAACTGGCTAAAAACGCTTCTCATAAAACTCGCCAATAAAAAAGATAAATCATTTATAATTGCACGGTGTGTACGACACTACCTCTAACTCATAATTTTATACCATAACTATCAATAGTTAAAACAATATATTTTATACCGTACCTTACCAGTAAAATTGTATACTCGGAGCATTAGTCTATTAAATATAGGAAATCACTATCTTATGGATATGATTTTAATACAAACATTCATGTAGTAGAAATATCACTTTTTTGAGGGATCGAAACTCGCAGCCCTTGAGAAAACAATTAATTGTGTAATTGTCATAAACAAAAAATCATACAACACTCATCAAATACACTATATCATAAATTATGATATAGGAGTAGTACTACTTTGTTTTCCTTCTGGATCAACTGGTTCCATCCCATCTTGGCATCTTTCCTTCCATTGCCTCTCTCCACGGTCTCACCTCACCGTGCAGGTTGCTGTGCACCCCCCAAACGCAAACGCGATAGAGACGCTCACGACTGCACTTCCTGCAGGCTGCACTGCACTCGCACACACCTCCACCCTCCTCCTCCCCTCCCCCCTGTTCACTCCCGCATCCAATTCCCCCCCATCTCTCTCTCTCTCTCTCTCTCTCATCCATCGCCCCGAAGTCCTCCTCCTCCTCCTCCTCGAGGACCTCGACACCTTCCTAGCTCACCGCGCGCGCGCCTCGCCCTCCTACGCAGGTAAACCCCCCCGCCCCCTCGAGCTCGCCATCCCGCGCTGATCTGCGGCCTAGGGTTTCAGATCGAGGGGGGGAAATTCCGCGCCGCTGACCTTCTCCCGCCTCGATCCCTGCAGATTCCTTCGCCGGTGGGGGTGGGGGGAGAACGGCGGCGGCGTTGTTGCGATGAGCTCGACCCACGTGGCTGTCGAGGCCCCGGATCCGGGGGGAGACGGGGGCCTCGGCGAGGCGAGGCTGGTGGATGCTGATGCTGCTGCTGCACCGGCGGCGGGGGATGCGGAGGGGAGATTGGGTGGTGGTGGTGGTGGCAGCTCGGCCCCCGCCGCTGCGGGGGACGCTGATGTGACGATGACGGAGGCCGTGGAGGAGGAGGTGGAGGTGGAGGTTGCGGGTGATGCCGAGGCGGAGGCTGCGGTGGTGGCGGGGGATGCGGCGGGTGATCCGTTGTATGGGACGGAGTCGGCTGGTATGGTTGTGGATGAGCCCGTTGACGCCGCCGAGGGAGGGGTAGATGGGGGAGATGGTGGCGAGGAGGGGTTGGAAGCGGAGGCTAGGGTTTTGCAGGGTGAGGCTGCGACGGAGCCCGTTCCGGCAGGAGGAGATGTTGCCATTGCTTCTGAAGTGGCGGCGGAAGCACATGATTCTGCTACTCCTGAGCATGCCGAGGCCGGTAAGCGGACCGATGACAGTTTGATGTACTGTCTCTTACTCCTTTCGCGTCGCTGAATAATGGTTACTACATTTCAGAATCCAATGATCTCGAAGAAAACCATGTTGATAGAGGAAAAGATAATGGCGTGGCGGTGGCGCACTGTGACGACGAAATGCAGAATAATGTGGAGGGGAGCTCCGAGATCCAAGAAGATGATGGAGCTCCCACACTTGAGCAGCAGGATGATGAGTCTGAAATGCCCCTGCCTTCTAGTGTGTCGAATTTTGAATTATGCGCTAGATACAGCCTTCCTCCTCTTGATAAAGGAGAATTTCGAGTTTCTGACCTTGTCTGGGGTAAAGTAAAAAGCCATCCTTGGTGGCCTGGTGAGATTTTTGACCCTTCAGATGCGTCTGAGTTGGCATTGAAGCACCAGAAGAAGGGCAGCCATTTGATAGCATATTTCGGTGACAATACTTTTGCATGGTGCGATGAATCCCAATTGAAGCCTTTTGTATCAAATTATTCACAAATGGAGAAACAGAGCAGTTCAGATGCCTTTGTTAGTTCAGTTAACTATGCCCTTGAAGAACTCTCAAGGCGGATATTGTCAGGGATGAGCTGTTCTTGTTTACCGGAAGAGCTATCTGACAATGGGATGTCCTATATGGTCGAGAATGCTGGGCTCAAGGATGGAGTTACTTGCTCTGCAGTTAACCGGTCTGAGATTTTGTCATGTTGCAGCCCAGAAAATCTTCTTAATTATGTTAAGTCTTTGGCTCTGTTCCCTGGCCAAGGTGGTGACTTGCTGGAATTAGTGATAGCTTGCTCTCAACTTACATCTTTTTATCGATCTAAGGGATGCCCTGAACTTGCATCATTCCAAACAGGCAGTGCATGGGTTGAGAATGGTGTGGACCCTTCTTCCATCAAGGATGATGTGGTTGATGAAGTTGTCACTAATGAAGAGCCTCCTGCTAATGATAAGCCCAAAAGAGGCAGGGGGCGACCTCGTAAGCAGAAACCTCAGGATGGTCTAGAGCTGACAGAGAAAAAGTCAACATCCAATCTTTCTACTGATAATGCCTATGATCATCCTGCGGAAAGGCAGATGGATATGGAGTTTGATGAATTTGACGGTTTACAGAGCAAGAAGAAAAGAAGCCTTGACTCGTTTGAAGATCCTGAGACCAAGGCGGCAGCTCCATCTTTTGGTAGTTCTTTCAAGATCGGGGAATGTATTCGGCGAGCTGCAAGCCAGCTGACAGGATCTTCATCTATTGTCAAGTCCCAGAATGAACAGGTGCCTCATAAGAACATCGCTGAAACAGAAAATGGAGATTTTGATGTCTCTAGTGATGATGCTATCAATGAGCTTAGTGTGGAGAAGCGTGCAAAAAGGAGACGGATGCATAGGCACCACAGTGCAGACCCCAAGGAATTGTTATCACAGCTGTGCTCAGTGGCTGTGGAGCCAACGCACGGATATAGTTTCTCTGCAATGGTAATTAATTACTTCAGTGATTATAGGAACTATGTTGTTTCTACTACTACTGAAGCAAATATCGTTGAGAAAACTACTGCAAAAAAGGGGAGAAAGCGGAAGGTTATGCCTTCTCCTGAGGTGGAGACAACTGATCACATGCAGGATTCCTACTGGTCTGGCTTGAGTTTGCATAATCACCCAATTCATGATCTCAGAAGAGCGAGTACTAGCACAAGGCCAAGGCGCAGAAGGAGATCATTGCGGGAAACATATTTCCATGCACAACAAAATCTACAGCATGGACTATTGAGTCCTAAGAAACAGATACAAGTGATAGAGAGATCAATTATCCATGTTGATGAAAAGATGGTTGATGAGGTCAAGCCCACTGCACTTGTTTTGAGCTTTGGTAGGTCAAGTGCTCTTCCTTCTGAAACTGATCTGGTTAAGATGTTTGGTCGCTATGGTCCACTGAAAGAATCTGAGATTGAAGTTCATGCCAGCTCGAATACTGTTAAAGTAGTCTTCAAGAAACGTGCTGATGCTGAAAGGGCTTTCAGTTTTGCTGGCAAGTTTAGTACATTTGGTCCTTCGCTCCGCAGTTACCGTCTTGTGAATATGCCATTTTTTCTCAGCTCACAAACCAATAATACAGAGGCACACTCTGAGTACCATGGTCTGGAGATTCCAGGTAAACAATCCTTCTATTACTTTTTGTAAGCTAGTGTAAAAGTTGGTTAACATTTTAGAAAATATTTGCATGTTTAATATACCACATGGCATTTTCTTTTTTGCAGGTCCAAGTGAGTCCAAAGTTCCACTAGATGCTGCAGAAGCTGACCAAGTTGACAAAACAGATGAGAAAGTAGAAGATAAAGGTACTGCTGAAGTACTGGCTAGGGAGACAGGTGATAGTATAACTGCACCTGGAGCACTAGATGAGAAAACAGAAAAGGAAGCTACTGCTGAAGCACTAGCTGACAAGACGACAGAAGGTGAAATTACAGCTGAAGTACAGGTTGAGGAGACTACTACAACTGAGAAAATTGTAGAGGATAAAGAACTAGCTGAGGAGACGACAGAAGGTGAAACTACAGCTGAAGTACAGGTTGCGGAGACTACTTCAACTGAGAAAATTGTAGAGGATAAAGAACTAGCTGAGGAGACAACAGAAGGTGAAGCTACAGCTGAAGTACACATTGAAGAAACTTCAACAACTGAAAGAACTGTAGAGGATAAAGTGGTACCTGAGGAGACAACGGAAGGTGAAGCTACTGCTGAAGTACTCGAGGAATGTACAGCCATTGAGAAAATTGTAGAGGATAATACCATAGCTGAGGAGATTACAGAAGGTGAAACTGTAGCTGAAGTACATGTTGAGGTAGCTACAGCAATTGATAAAGCTGTAGAGGAAAACACACTAGCTGAGGAGACAGCTAAAGGTGAAACTACACCTGAAGTACACGTTGAGGAAACTACAACAGCAGAGGAATCTGTGGGGGACAAAGCAGTAGATGAGACAACAAAAGGTGAAACTACAGCTGAAGTATATGCTGAAGAATCAACCGAGAAAACTGTAGAGGATACCACAGTTGAGGCACCAGATGAGAAAACTAAAACAGCCAATGATCCTGTAGAGGATGCCACCGTTGAAGAGCCAGATAAGAAAACCGCAGCCAATGATCCTGTAGAGGATGCCACCGTTGAAGAGCCAGATAAGAAAACCGCAGCCAATGATCCTGTAGAGGATGCCACCGTTGAAGAGCCAGATAAGAAAACCGCAGCCAATGATCCTGCAGAGGATGCCACAGTCGAAGAGCCAGATAAGAAAACCGCAGCCAATGATCATGTAGAGGATGCTACCCTTGAAGAGCCAGATAAGAAAACTGCAGCCAATGATCATGTAGAGGATGTGACTGTTGAAGAGCCAGATAAGAAAACCGCAGCCAATGATCCTGTAGAGGAAGTCATCCCTGAAGAGACAGATAAGAACACCACAACCAATGATCCAGTAGAGGATGTGACTATTGAAGAGCCAGATATGAAAACCGAAGCCAATGATCCTGTAGAGGAAGCCACCGTTGAAGAGCCAGCTGTGGAAGCTGGGACAATTGAAGAGATTGCTACGGCTGAAGCACGAGATGAGAAAACCATGATAACCGAGGAAACTGCACAGGATCCCATGGTTGAAGATGAGAAAACCATGACAACCGAGGAAACCGTACAGGAGCCCATGGTTGAAGATGAGAAAACCGTGACAACGGAGGAAACTGTACAGGATCCCATGGTTGTAGATGACAAAACCATGACAACCGAGAAAACTGTACAGGATTCCATGGTTGAAGAAGGTGGTACGAATATCGCAGCTGCTGAGGAAACTGTAGAGCATGCTGCTGCTACTGCTGAGGCTTTGGCTGGACAAGCAAGTTCAACCGAGCAGAACGGGTAGCATAAGCTGGATTCTTGTAGGTTTTGGATGATATTGCGGCAGTCGGCTCAACTGATTCATCCAATCTGGATGTCGTGTGGAATCAACTCTAGCAACATAGCGATATTAGTTTCTAGTAACTACGGCGTATTTGCTGCCTTCTATATAAACCTTACATGTAGTTGTCTTGGGAGCAGCAGCAGTGTGTCACGAATAGAAGAGTTTCTTCAGAAACGGTGGTGCGACAGCCAGTGGACCAGCTACTGGATTAGCATCCGAATTAAGCCATGTTCTTTCCTACTACATTTTAAGGCCTTTGGGCCAATCTACCGGGGACTCATGATTCTTGTACCAATCTTCCATTTTGTAAACTGGCTGTGTTCTGTAGGTTATTTCTCCTTTATTCCATCATAGTAGCTCATATTTTTCAGGCTGATTCTACATTTCTGGTTGCAACTTATCTAATCTCATCATGAAATGTACATTTTTTTTCCCTAGCTGCTTGATTACTTGTTTATCTGTGCTAGAAAGGTTGATGAGTGGTAATAATGTCCATTTCCGCTTTTCCTTGTCTTAGGTAATTATGTTTGTCTAAATTGCAACCAGTTGTACTTTGATGGTTCAGATAGTCAGTAAACGTTATTTTTCTGTAACTTCTATCGAGTTGGGCTGAATCCTAACAGGCATCCAGATTTTTCAGCCCTGTTTGGTATTTTATCCCCTGCGCTGCAATAGCATATATAAGTCCAGGCAAATTTTTCTAACGCAAAATAGCGCCCACCCAATTGGCGAACATCAAGGTGCTCACAAAAGCTTGATCACGGCTAGATTGGATGAAATTAGCTCTTTTTTATTTCTTTTTTTAATTGGAAATGAAGCATGCTCACAAAAGCTTGATCCGATCTTATCACGGCTAGATTGGATGAAATTAGCTCTTTTTTATTTCTTTTTTTAATTGGAAATGAAGCATGCTCACAAAAGCTTGATCCGATCTTATCACGGCTAAATTGGATGAAATTAGCTCCTTTTTATTTCTTTTTTTAATTGGAAATGAAGCAGCCAAGTTTTGATAAAGCAACCTTCAGTTAGCAACTTGGCGTAGGTAACATAAACTGAGCACGTCCCCCCAAAAAACAAGTACTCCAATAGATAAAGCCAACATCGTTCACATTTCACGGTAAATGTGATACGCCAACAGCATCGCACTCTTGTTTGGACTTCAAGAGCGACCACACATGGGAGGGAGAGAATGGGAATCAGAGTAAAATTGCTACCATTACAGAGAGCATCTATTTCTCAATAGTACAACACGCTAGTTCAGGACGAAATACAACATGAATATTTATGCCTCCCAATACAGATTATATGGAACCGAATGACAGCCAAAGACCAATTGTTAAATTATCCTGAATATACATACAACAACAGAGCTAGACCACGAACCGAAACTATCCTCACGGGGAGTAATTTACATCTGAGAAGCAGCCTTGGCTCGACGCTTCCAAGCAGCATCAGTTCCTGGTTGACAAACATGGGACCTAGAGGTGGTAGCAAGTTACTTCCTTCACTGCTCACCATGAGGTGTAGGTATATATATTAGCTAACGACTGCAGCACCAAATAAAATCCACCTGCGCTATTAGCAAATGTGTCGGCACATGAACCATTCCCGTACAAGATATCAAAAATTCGAAATAGCATATGGTTCTTCGACGGATTAGGTATACCTAGCAACAGTTGCATGAAAAGGTCCTATCTTCAGTTTGAGACATCCCCATTATGGTACTGGGCAAGGCAAAAGAAAGAAAAAAACATCAGCAAACGTATCGAGATCAGATGAGATTATGCAAGTGGCAATATCTTATGCCAGAAATATTGAAAAGTGAACTCTTACACTCAAACAGTAACTTTGTGCATGTTTCAGTTTTTTTAATGGATTTTGCCCAGATCTAACCAAAACAAAAAAAGGAAGGGAAACAAGCTCTGGCTGGATGCATTCTGCTGAAGGAAATGCACCTAGATTTATGGATTTATCATTCATTTACTGTTCATACACAAAATATCCAGTAATTCTTTGATCTCAGTAACTAGACAATGAATCAACCTAAAAGGGACAGTCCAACAACATACTCTCTGTACCAAAAAAAACAACTTGCTTTGAATCTGGACAAACATTTGTCTAGATTCATTGCAAGGAATTGATTTTTTTTGGTACAGGGGAAGTAGAGGATGGAGAGGCCAATCATGTTTACTACTCCAGGAACTTCCAAACAGTAGAAGTCTCCTAACACTGAAGAAACAAAAGGACGGCACAATAAGGAGATTAAAAGTTATCTTCTCATGTGTCTCTTTAAAATGACCAGTGGCAGTAGAATGGTAGCAGGATGGCACTACTAGATATTTACCAGAGAATCTCACGTTCATGTTATTATTAGAACAAATATAGGCATAATAAAGCTGATAAATCTAAACTAAACGTACTACATGGCCAGTAAAAATATCCTAAAACAAAGAGGAAAAAAATCAAACACAACTGTGAATCAACTAGCTAATGGAACTCCCCGAAGTCTAAACCACAATATTGTCTTGTATGCTCCCAAGACATGACGGTATATTCAGCAAAATACTTTGACAACGATCAACCATGTGTATATGCATACTGCCAGTAATTCCAAACAATTGAAGATAAATCACCTGAGGTTGCATATAACCCATTCCTTGATTGTATGCTGCTTGTTGGCCCATCTATAAAGAATAAAAATAGTGTAAGTTCACATCCTGTTGGACAGGAACAAGAAAACAAACAAGCAGACACTAACCCCTTGGGCACTTGAACTGCTTCCTCCATGAGAACCAAGTACATCCTTTTTCACAGAGCCATCACCAGCCTTTGCAGTTAATTTACTATCACCCTATGTTTTAATGATGATAAAAGAGCTGAGCAATACTCAACACATCTCAGATTTTGTGTAGGCATGATAGTACAATCATGAATCATAATAGAATTCTTGGTCTTAACCATAGTAAAAGAGTGCTCTGCTTGCTGTATGGTGCAGAATCATGATTCATCTTGTCTTTTTACCTATTGATTTTCAAAGGCATGTAGCATGCAATTTTTTGGCCCATATAGAATTGATACAGGGAAACTTGATAAAAAATTTGTTTCACTCAAGACTATACGAAGCATCATAGTACATCCAATTGACAAGAACAAGGTATATATACGATCTAAAACTGATGGAATTATTGGATCCCATGAAGAGAATTCTATATGCCTTCAAAATTTGGACATAGCTAGCTGCACAGGTGAGCTAAGCTCATGATGCAGACAGGATTGTATAGATCAATAATTCATTTTCAAGGCTGATTTTATTTATGAACTTTATATATCTTGAACATTTGCATCTTAGTGTCTATGAAATATGAATGCCTCTTAGTGTCTATGAAATATGAACACAAAGAAAAGCATGGATTTGTAGGAGGCACTCATCATCAAGCAAAAAAATCAGTAGCCTATGGAACATGATAACAAAATAGTTAAATACCACGTACCTCCATCTGCAACCAGCACAGCCATTCACCAAACAAAAACAAACAAGAGAAGCCATATTAGATTGATAAAGGAGACTTAACAAACGAAAATGACAGGCATACACAAAGTATTAATGTTTTAACTCCAGGCTACACTAAAAAAAATGTTGTAGAGAATTTGGTCTTTTTTTAAAGCTACACTATGATATGTCGTGTAAGTAGGAAGTTTTATCTTCAGGTAAGTAAACTTTCAGTGTAAAGGTGATCTTTTTATAGGATCTCTGGTTGATTCAAAACATTTTACTGTATTTGCATTGGATCTTATAAAATTTAAGATTGACGGTAAACATGGTAAATGAATTAAATAGCATTTTAGTAGCTCAACGATTCATAAAAATTTGGACTTGGTACAAGGTTAGTAGGTTACTGCAAATGATCACTGCTGTGTTTTCAGGTCCAAGCAACAGCTTTCAATTAATTAATTAATGTACTAACACCATATTCCAACCATTCCTTTCACGGTATAAAATTGGAATCATAAAGCAAGATTTGCTGACAAGAATCTTTCTTCCAAAGCAACATGAGCTAAAGAAATTAGCTCATACCACAAACATTACAAGTTATCCATCCGTCCTCAAGTTGAACAAATTACTAGAGTATACTCCCTAATAATATTAAGGTTACCAAGCAAGTTATTAGTAATTCAGACACACCTCGAAAAAGCAAACTAGCGATGTCCCTACCTAACTCGCAAAGCAATAACTAAACCTTTTTAAATCAACAGAGAATCACCCCAATTCCAAACATCCACATCAGTACGCACCTCTCTGTACTTCTGCAGGTAGACCTTGAGGGGCTCGATGTAGTCCTCGAAGCCCAGCGTGGCCATCGCCCACAGCAAGTCGTCGCCGTTGATGGTCTTGCGCTTCTCCCTCTGGCATTTATCGCTCGCCCTGTAATGTTGCCCCACCACAACAAAAACCCAGTCACATCTCATCGCCGCCAACGACAAGTCAAACAACGAGCTCAAAGCTCAAAACTCAAAAGAAGACAGAGCAGAGCAGAGCAGAGCACAAGAGGGGGGAGGACGAGGGCGACGACTCACTCGCTGGTGATGAAGGAGATGAACTCGGAGACGCACTCCTGCACGGTCTCCTTGGCGTCCTTGGCGATCTTCCCGTTGGCCGGGATGGCCTTCTTCATGATGCGGCTGATGTTGGCGATGGGGAGGAACCTGTCCTGCTCCCTCACCCCCCCACCCCCACCCCCACCTCCCCCTCCTCCCCCTCCCCCCCTCGGGCTCCCGCTCTCGTGGCTCCCCCCTCCTCCCCCCGGGCTCCCCGGCCCATCCGCCATCCCACCTCCCCCCTCCTGCACCACCACCACCCAAACCCAAACCCTAGATCCATCAGTCCCCGCATCCCAAAACCCTAGAAATGGGATTCGAGCGAAGGAGAGAGAGGCGTAGGCGTACCTTATATAGAAGCGCGGGCGCGCGCGGAGAGGGCGCGACGTGGAGAGGAGAGAGAGGGGGGTTGGGCGCGAGGTGGTGAAGCGAGGAGGAGAGAGAGAGAGAGAGAGGGGGAGAGGAGAGAGAGAGGAAGCGGGGGTGGGAAGCGGAGCGGAGGTGAGGCGGAGAGGCGAGAGGGGGAGATCGGACGCTGGAGAAGAGAAGGCGGCTGAGGCGGGCGCGATTGAAGGGGTCGGGGTATCAGGGCCGTTCGTGGAGGGGTATATATAGGGCGGACGCGGGCGCCGCCGCGTGGGGGGTACGGGTGAGGGTTTGGCTGACTGGGTTTGCCTGGCCGGTGCACGGTGGACCGGGTGTAGGGGTCTAGGGGAGGAGATTTCTTTTTTTCTTTTTTGCTTTTTGGGTTTTTCTTTTGCCTTTTTGTAGCCTTTTGTTTTAGGTTTTTTTTAGAAAAAAAAAGTTTTGGATTGAGGTGAGTTTGTCGTTTGGTGAGAGTGCACACAACGTGGGGGTTTTACAGTTTTACATCACAAATAGAATGTGAGATTTGCCATAAAAAACATTTATGATTTGCTTTTTTTTTCCCGCTTCTTCCTCTGATACACGAGGCATTTGATTTTATGCCGTTCTTAATATACGAGTGAACATTTGTTATATATCACCATTCATCAGTGGAGGGTAATTAGCCGGGAATATTAGAAGCTACCGCTGCTATACGTGACGCTGACCTCAATTATTTTTGACTGGATGGAGTATTTTATTAAAGGTTTTACATTGCCATAGGTTGTAAAGCAGTGTCATTGTAACAACAATTAAATAGCTACTTCAAGCGTTAAATTTTGTTTTAAAATATAGCTACTTCATCACTTGTTATATTATCTCAACCAATTACAACCATATTTCGTATAGATTTTTCACATAATTTTTCATCTAAACTAATCACAATTATCACTCGTTTAATTTCATTTCGCTTCTTAGTTTCTGTAAAAAGTTCTACAAGTACTTGTATTTTTAAGCAAAGTGAATAAGTTAAGTAATACCTATTGAATACATACATGGATAATTGGATATGCTTGTAAATCGATCGGCAGTGATGACAAGTCCAGAACTAAGGTATGCGCATCTAAGCCATTTAATTATATTATAGGTCAGCTTTTACTAAAACGACTAGAAGACTGTGATAGTCCTATGAAAATATCAATACTGAACGATAGGACGACAAGATATTTACAAAAGGCAGACATGACTAACGTGTTTTTCTGAGGGAACAAACAGATGGTATCTGAACAGACAGCTTTATGTCAAGATGTTCCAAGCAAACAACATTATCTTTTTGGACAGAATTACTATTACAATTATAACTAACAAAGTATTTGAGGACCGAAAACTTTTCTTCAGAAATGATTATCATCTCTTGCACCGTTGCACGTGTTCTACCCTTTCACTTTGCGTCCCGTATGTGTAAAGTCAACTGCGGATCGCAAGATGTTGCAGCTAAATAACAACCTTATCATCCTCATCCTCGGACACAATTACAATTAAATAAGATCGGCAAGATCAAGCTGCCTGATACTGCAAGTGATTGTGCAAGTGAGAATTTTCTTTTAGGTTTTAAGGCTTATGGACAAAGCAACAACATGAGGGGAGTAGTATACTAGTAGTTAGTATAGCATATCATCATCTCCAGGACCTATACTTAACCGGCATATATTCGACAGATGCGCATGATTGCCTTCCGCTATTTAACCGGGACAGACAGACACAGGACTCCCATCGCATCTGGAAGCGAACCGTGTCGCCATTTTCTAGCGACTTCGGCCGTCCAGCGAAGCAAAACTTTTGGCGTCAACGCGAAGCTTTGCGGAAACACACAATGACACAAACACAACAGCAGCTCAAAAGTGAATGCAGACACAACCTCATGCTGAAGCCAACATGACCACGAACACGTACATGCGAAATGTGTCCCCACAAAGGCAAGGCATGACCTTATCGAAAACTTTAACCCTGCCTATATCAAAATTTTCGTTGCTACCGATTTTTTGATTGGGTAGAGAACCAACCCAAGCATAGAGCGACCTGTTGTTGAAAAAGAAATTTACATCGTAAGAATTGATCCGTCGTGAAATCTCTGCACCACGAGCAGACAGTCCTGAAACTGAGAGCTGGTAACAAATGCTTCCAAACGTATTAGGCAATATAAGCTCCAATAGGCGAACAGAACGATGGATAGTAATAGTATTGAAGATTTTCACCAGCCACGTATATTTACACCAAAAGAGAAGGTTTGCATCAACAGCAGCGAGCTAAGCTGAGAGTCGCCATGTTCGCGACTACTTGAGCACACCTACAGGCAACTACCACTATGTACAGAGAAGGAAGGGCATGCGCCACCTCAGTTTTTTCCCTTTCCTAACATCAGCTCCACCCGAATCATATGTCTTGGTAAGTTAAGCAGTGAACCACCCACATTTACACCATGTTTTCCTACGTGATACTTACAAAACACACATTTCTACTGCGTGTGATGGCATGCGCAGCTAGATGCTATCAGTTTCAAGTCAAGATAAGTGGAAGGACCCCTGACCTTCCGTAATCGCGTAGAGTAGTTTCTCCCTCATCTTGTCCTGCAGATTGCGTATAACAATTTGGTGTCAATGCAAATAGTACTGGAAATCAAGAACTAATCACGGAATAATATCTTTAACTACTTTAAAATCTCAGTCGTTCTCCCTCCCCTTCCAAAAAAACGGCTCTAGAAAAGCCCATGAAAGAAAGGCATAAACAAAACTGAATTACTTTTTTATCTTCGGATATGTTGCACGCACAGGCATGTAACTAGTCTCCAAAATATGCAAGTGTGGTTTTGAGATTTTGACTTAAACCTAGGCAAAACCGTCAATTCGTTCTAGTTATAGTTTAGTAGATGATGTCTCATACGGTGACATAAATGAGGGATTGATTTAATTTATGAAAATTCCAGAATATACCAGTGGACTGTTAAAAAGCTAATCAGAACAGTAGTATGTTACAGACCTTGGAAGAATAGGGGGGTAACTTTAGATAATTAGCACAAGTCATCACACTCGGAAGGTCATCATCAGCCTCGTTGCTGTTATGCTGCTGATTATATTACAAAATATTAGGGAAGATAGTAAGAAAAAACAAATCCTAAAAGAAGTATATAATGAAAACAGACCTTTCGGACAACCGTCAACTTCGGATTTAGCGCAGCTAACCCACCCGGTGGGAGTCGAGGTGAACCTGTTATAAATTGCAAGAAAGCTCTGCGTTGATGGCCTTCAAACTCCTGTATAACCTCCAACAACTGCAATGTATTTGGCATGTAAAGAAAAGAGCCTTTACTACCATTTCAGAATAAAATATTTAACCGTCTAAATATATGAATACTGAAGAACTTACATTAATGACAGGAGGGCTGCTGGAAGTGTAGCCATGATCAAACTTTATATGATCCACAAGTTTCGCAAACTGTTCACAAACAAGGATCAGCAAGGGCGGTAGAATGAACACAGAAGTAACAACAAACTCCACAAAAGAAAGGCGCTTACATCCCACGTATCTTGTTCACCGCAGAGTAATCGCTCCAGCTCATCCTCTGAGAAGACCTGGAGCATGCTTAATGGAAATACCTGCATTTCCCAATGTCAGTTTCACAATAAAATGGATTCCTAAAGGACAAATGCCAACAACACAGCTTTCCTCCTAATTATAAATTGAGACGGAGGGAACGGCACCTAAACCCTCAACATATCTGAATCTGTTCAAATGAATTGAATGGCGATGAAAAATTCTAAGATAGCGATTCGCCCTACCTACCCTGCCCATTTCCATATCTAGCATATCATATTGCTAATGAAAACCACCATGAAACATACCTCATTGAATCCTGACTTAAAAGCTTCCAGCTGTCTTGCAATTCCACTTCTAATTGTTGCATCAACAACAAAAGAAACATACTGTTCTAAATTGTCAGCACTTACCTGAAAGCAACATGAACAATTAAGTAAGAGTCTAATCAGCTAAGAAACTGAAAGCATTGAAGTGTATGCTCATATGCGCTTACATTATCCAAGCTATTTTCTAAAGAAAGAACATATTCTGGATATCCTGGAAGAGCGAACTCAATAGCAAGATCCTCAATCCTGCAACCTCGATAAGACAAATCAGATGTACTCTTGCAGTCCCCACTTGAACTTGATTCTAAATATTTTCTCCGAGCAGCAAGTGCTTTAAACTCCATAAGGGTCATTGCTAGTTCAGGATCAAATGAGTGAATGTCATATATATTAAGTTCCTAAGAAAGAAAAAGGTTATTTAGAGACTTGGAAAGTATGAAAGCATAGCAAACTTCATCCAGGGATTCAGTCCAAAATACCTGTCCTAGTATAAGCCTGTAAAATGCTTTAGAAAATGGAATGTCGAGAATTCTGTTGTCTTTAACTGCCTTTGCAACGACCTGACCAAGGAGGTGGAACTGTTTATTCACTTCTGAGAAGGAAGAACAATCCACATGGGTGGACCATGGTTTAGGAAAAAGTCCATTAGGGGCAACCACAAATACAGAACCACCATGAACATTATCCAGGCCAGCTTCGCCGGAGAGCTCCCCTCTCCACATGCCTAAACCAGACTTCTGAAACTCATGACTTATCAATGTATAGAATTCCATCGTAGGACCCAAGCCTGTGCCTACTTCCTCTTCATATTCTACTTCAAGCATTGCATTACTCCGAGCATGTGATTGCATCACTTTAGCAGCAGAAACAAGTATATTGTCGCGATCAACTTTGAACTTTTTCCGTGAGAAGGAAGGCACCCTTTCTGTCATTACACCACTGCCACTTGTATCCATCATATTCCCATGTTGTGGGGTCAAAGAACCAAATGCTGTCAGCTGGAAATACTTCCATCTTGCCTCAAAAGAAAACAAGAAGGGACATGCAGACATCAGTTCAGTGCACCATAAAGGCAGGCAACGAGACCTTAAAACCAAGGGATCATGCATCTGTTGCTCCAGTTTATCTGTCAATTTAGCACTGACAAACTCCTGCTGTGGAACTACAGAAACATCAACTTTCAGATCATCAAGGTCAGTTATGCTTCCATGTACAAAAGCACGGTTTCTCTCATCAGAGACGAGGTGAAAAGAGTATCGGTTCAACCCCTCTAGAACTTTTAGCATAAACAATATGTCATATGATGGACTTGATCTGTCAAGTTTGCA